CTGTCAAACAGACCTTTCTAAATCAGACTCAGCTCGCAGTTAGCAGCAACATATCAAACTACACCTAAAATGGACTCTCCACGCTGGCTGCCTCTGGAGTCCAATCCAGAAGTATGTACCCCATCGGCTATTTTCACAGCTGCAAGGTTTTATTCAAGCCATTCATTCTGAAGGATGTGAACACTAGCTACTGTGCTGGCTAGCTATAAGAACAAAAGCTGAGCCCGGTGTAGGGGCTCTGCTAATAAATCATATGTATTTACCAATTTCTCTTTTTCTCTTTTATTATTTTTTCAGGTCATGACCAAGGTAAGCTCTTTTTGGTTCTATTTAACGATAGTGCTGAAAATAAAGAGTTGCAAATAGTTTTCAAATGTGCAAGGCCCACGCCACAATGATGCTACATTTACAGTATTGTCATAAAACAATAAAAAATAAAAATAAAATCGCTGTCATTGCAGTTAAAAAAAATACTGCAGTGTATACATGATGTCCAAACTTAGGAAAACATGTTTAAATAAATGAACTGTCAAAAACATTTCTGGTTCCGCAACCTAAATATATGTCTACAAGCCCAGAAATATATCTTTTGGAGGTTGGGTGAGTGGGTTTTGTATTTTAAACCAGATTATGTCAGTGTATCTTATTGTGCATGCTAATTTACTCTGTTTGCATCTAGTTTGTCAGCTGTTTGGGCATGAAGCCATCTTGGCAGTTTGGGGACGTTTACGGGTTGGATCCAGAGCTTCTGAGCTTGGTACCAAGACCAGTGTGTGCAGTGCTGCTCCTCTTCCCTGTAACAGAGAAGGTTTGACATATTTATCCAGTTATAAAACACATAGACGCTCTTGATTTTTAGATGTCTATAGTTTATGTGCCATTGATGAATGTTGAACATAAATATTGATGTTTGTTTACATGTTTCTTGTCTTTCTGCTGCTTTTCTCTTGCATCCAGTATGAGGCGTTTAAGCAAGAAGAGGAGGAGAGACTCAAAGGCCAGGGGCACGGAGTCTCCCCTGACGTATACTTTATCAAGCAAACTATTGGGAACGCCTGTGGAACGATCGGATTAATTCACGCAGTGGCTAACAACCAGGCTCACCTGCAGTTTGGTGAGTTTTAACTTCATGTGAATCACATTGGAAGGAAAAGTAAAACTGACCAAAAAACGTGGATCTGTTCACATTTTGTTGCATTACAACATCAAACCTTAGTGCATTTAGAGCTGATTCAATGCAAAAACTAAACATTAAAAAACAATTTCCCATAGTCTTCACATTGCCCTGATGGACTCAAAACAATGAGAGAAAATTATTAAAGGAATGTCATATTATCTGCTTCATTTTATCCTTCGCTCCATGTGTCCTTTCTTTCTTCCTTATGTAGTTATGTCTTTCCATTCATCCATTCTTCATACAAAGATACATACTTGGATCTTTTGTCCTCCTTTTTTTGTGCCCACTGTTTGTTCAATTCCTTCCTTCCTTCCTACTCTTCTTTTCCATCCTTCCTTCCATCAACCCTTACCTCTTTCTCCTTCCTTCTTTCCTTTCTTACTGTTTCTATTTTTTTTTTTTTTTTGGTTGTTGTCTTTTGTATTTTTCTCTCTTGCTTTTATTAATTTAACTTAAAGATTGAGAACTTCGGTAAGTTGCATCTGTAAAAATTTGGGATTTTTCCACAAATGTTTAGGAATCCTTACTTTAGTAATAAGTAGTATAGTTTAAATATAATCTTGTATTTAAAAGCAAGTAGTCCTGTACCGTTTATATTTTGCTCCTCCTTCACAGAGGCCGACTCTCCCCTTAAGAAGTTCCTTGACCAAACGGCAAAAATGACCCCAGAGGAAAGGGCCACGTTTCTGGAAAAAGACGAGGTAGGACTAAGCTGAAGGGAGCATGGATGGACATTAATTGTAGAAACGAACCCGAAGGGACTTTAAGGGAGAAAAGTCAAATGACTCATGTAGTTCTTTTGTTCAATTGTTTTTCCCAGAGCATACGTGTCACACATGAATCTAGCGCACAGGAGGGGCAAACTGAGGTTTGGAATAACTTTAAGTTCATTTGTAAGATTAATTTGCACTGAATTTGACATGTACACAAATTAACCTCAATGAATTCATTTCTCGTCTGACGCAGGCCCCAAGTTTAGATGAAAAGGTCAATCTGCATTTTATAGCTTTTGTGAACGTCGGAGGACAGTTATACGAACTAGGTGAGTTCACAGCAGCATGTCGCAAATCTTAATTGCGGTTTGTCACATTACAGCGCCCTGCACAGGTACTAGCACGTTTGTATTAACAAATGTACAATAAAGTCATGTTTTTATTCAAGCTCAAGTTCACTTGTTTAGTTGGGGGGTATACCCCGGATACCCCAAATCATGGAGCCAAAGTTTGATACAGTAAAACTGATGCTTCAGTTCTTAACTTTTAAGTAGACCAGAGTTCCTAAGAGCTTTTTTGCAATAATCCTTAACCTCCTGGTTTCGTAGGGAACAAATATGAAGTTTCACAAACAGCCGATCAAAACGAGAAAGTAGGGGTGCACCAATAAATCAGCTCTGATTTTCCTTTGTTTTGAGACATTGGCTGATTTCCCAAAACAATCTTCTTTACCTCTGAAAAGGATCTGATAATCAGCCACTATTCCTTTCTGTTATGCTGTGAGAGCAGACTGGCAGACAGACCTGGCCACCAGGTCACGTCTGCAGGTGCTCTGTTAACAATAATCACCATACTGTTTACAACTCAGCAACTTTGTTGCTATATTTAGTAACAACTGAAAAAATAAGAAAATGTTCACTTCCCAAAATGTGTGTATATACATATATACACAGCCATGGTGATAATTAAAAGATTTAAAGCAACAGTTAATTTCATACATAGATGGACGGAAGCCTTTCCCTGTTGTCCACGGAAAAACTACAGAAGATACGCTCCTTGAGGTAAGATATTGCTAAACACAATTAAGATTATTACATAGAAAGTTCACTTTTAGTTTGTGTTATTTTGTATGATGCTGGACAGTGAGAGTTTCCTTTAAATCTGTTGGCATTAAATGATTTGACTTGTGTGTTCCAGGACGCCGTAGAAGTGTGTAAGGTTTTCATGGCTCGCGACCCTCAGGAGGTCCGTTTCACCATCATCGCTCTGTCCAAAGACTCGTTCTGAGGAAGCTCTTTTTCCTTTTGTGTTTTTTTTTTTTTTTTTTGACCCCAGAAAGCAAAGAAAACATTACTGCCAAACATTCTGAAGTGCTGAATATATTATAAAACACAGTTGTTGTTTTTTTTTTCTCTCACAATGTTATTGCAAGCAAATCTCAAACTAAAAGAATACCAGGGATCGGAAATCTGCATCGCTGCCTTGGATTATAGATTTGCTTAATCTGTATGTTTGAGGCTCTTTTTGGGTGAACATTTAACTGCACTTATTCACTGTTTAATTTTATCGTGTTTGGGTTTGTTTTTGACAATTACTTCGATCGCATCATGGAGATGAGCTGTGGAGACGCATTTTAAGATGCTTTAATTTCATTCTCTCAAAACACTTAAAGGATGATGATGTTTCATGAATTAATGTGTTATGAACTGCTTTAACAAAGATGACTGTCGGAGGATAACAAACATCTAGTCTGAACATGCGGGTGAAAGGTGCCTACATTTTTGTAATTATGAGTTTGTCAAATAAAGGGCAAATTTAATAAGCACTTTTTTGGGGGTCCCTAGTGTTTGTCTTCAAGTTTATATATAGTTTCTACTAAAATTAGCTCCCACATTAAATTAGGTTTAATATAAAAACTCCAAAAACGTTGCTGTGGTTGTAAAAAAAAAATAAATAAATAAATAGAAAAAACTGCAAGAGCTGTTTTAAGTAGGTTTTATTTTTAGGTTTTGCTATTACAATATACCCATAAAATGATTCAACCCTCTGAATAGATTTATTCTAAGGAGCTTACATTTACAAATCAGGGTGTAGTCTCAGACATACCTGATGCTGCAGATCAAGATGCCTGTTTTAGAAATATGGCTTAGTCATGAGAATTATCTGAAAGACTTGAGGAAAAACTGTTGCACTGACAAAATGACACAAACGGACAACAAAGGCTATAAATGTTGATGATCGTAGAGATGTTAATAGGTTTTAAAGATAAAGGAATGTTGACTACGCCTCCAGGATGTGACAGAACTGTGACTAAAGTACAAGAGAAGTCTCCAACTGACTCACTTTGGTATGAATTAGCTTACAAGGTTATAAGATTATGTTCTGTGAATGCAGCAGTGTCTGTAGAGGAGGAGGATGTACTGTCATATAGTCAGATGAGGTCAAAATAAAACCTGATTTTAGTAGAGTTTTATTTTTGCAATGTTTGGAAGAAGGAGAATTGGTACAACCCCAAGAACACCATTCCAACCGTGAAGCATGGGGATGGCTCCATCGTGCTTTGAATGGTTGTTTTCTGCAAAGGGAACAGGGCGAGTGCATTGCGTACCCAGTCTTCAGACCTAGACCTATTAAAACTTTGTTGGATTGAGCTGAAACTCTGTATTTCCCAGCAACAGCCCCAAATCCTAAGAGATCTGCAGAATATCTGTGTGGAAGAGTAAGCCAAAATTTATGCTGCAGTGTGTGCAAATCTGGTCAAGAAACACAGGAAACATCTGACCTGTCTAATTGGGAACAAAAGTTTCGTTACAAAATTATTTTCTGTTGTATGAAATACTTACTTCATGCAAAAAGAATTAACATTATTTTTATTCTGCCTCAGTTGAAGTGTACCTATATGTTGAAAATGGCAGACATGTAGGTTCTATGAAAGCGATAGGTTAGTATTTCAGATCATGTAATACTGACTTTCCTCCACTGAGTGGCGCTGTAATAGCGCACTTTTTTGGATCTCGACGGAGAGATCCGAACGCTGTCAGTTTTCCCAGGTGTTCAAACCTTTTTTTTTTTTTTTTGGTATTTTCTTCGAGGTCCATCAGTCTACAGCTTTCACAACTTTATTTTCAACGATTTTTGCCTCAGAAGTCCATTCTTCTTCCTCCTCACTTGAGGAAAAGGAAACTTCCGCACGTCTTATCTTTTGCGCGTTTTGTGTTGAACCCCTCCACCCCCCCCTTCCCTGATGGTCTTTCTTGGGACGAAATCGGGCTTTCGTGTTTACCTGGAAGCCGCAGGGGCAGGGGTGGATACACCCCGGACCTTGCCTCTCAGCTGCCCCCTCCCTGCTACAGGTCTGCCGCTCTAAATGCCCTAAACTCTGCGAGCTGACGAAGTCGAGCACAGGAAGACTCTGAGGACTCTTTTGATCGGAGCTCTGAAGAAAAGAAGCGAACCACAGGTGTGTCGGATGAAAGGACAGGTAAAGCTGCTGCAGCGGCAGGGTGATGCAGACGGAATGTACTAACCTCTTGTTACACCTTGCATCCACCCTGCAGCAAAAGAACAATAGGAAACATTTTTGTGCTGAACAAGAGGTGTGATCACCAGGTCACCTGTGTTTCTGACTGTCCACGGGAAGACTTTTAAAGGCGATAGTTGCGCTTGCATCTCATAACCTGGAGTGATAAGCCTAAATGATGGAGTGGCGTGAGCAGTCCTCCGTCAGCAGCGAGGAAGGATACTCGGAGGCGCAAAGATGGATCGAGGTAAGTCAAAGCTACCTGAGAACTGTTGTACCAAGGATATTCTAACACTAGACGCTTTTATGCTCCAATGTATTAGTGATACTATTCTGGAAAGCTCATTTGTTTCAGTAATTCTGCTCAAAAAGTCAAAGTAATTTATATTCTTTACGATACATTTCATGCATTTACTTTTATTTTTTGACGATTTGGGTTTGTAATTAATGGCAGCCACAAAAGTCATTGCACAAGATCGTGTTCTTTAACACAGAAATGACATATTATGACCTAGACATTTCTGAAGAAAACCACTGGTTTAACATGAACTATTTGGCAATGACAGTGAGCCCCAAAAGGTCATGACTGAAGAAGCTGCCTGTTAAGAGTCCTACATCCAAACATGCTAATGGAAAATGCAGTGGAAAAAAAAGTGTGGTTAAAAAAAAGGTGCAGCTATGGAGTCAGGGCTTCAAGAGAACTTTGGGATACAACTGTTGCATTTGTTGTGTTAAGCCACTCTGGAGTCAGAGACAATAGCAGACGTGTCTTACCCTGGCTGGGGAGTAAAAGGACTGGACTGTTGGCCGACAGTCGTTCTCTCTCAGATGAAAGTAAAGTATGCATTTCAAATGGAAATCAAGGTTCTAAAGTGTGGAGGAGGAAGAGTGGAGAGGCACCATACCCAAGTTGCATGAGGAGGTTCACTTTTAGTGATGGTTGTGTCAACCAGGCAATCTCTGTCTGTTGGTCCACTGCTTCCCTCTGCTGACAAGCTTTATGGCGATGATGAAACTTGTCATTGCCGTAAAGCGATGGCACTTTTCACCGGCCCGGCTTCCAAAACAACCAATAGTTCTTGTAATGACAATGGTCACAGCTCCTGATTGGCCAACAAATTCCCCTGACCTAAATCCCATAGAAAATCTTCAGGGTATTGGATGATAAGTGACACCAGACCCAACAATGTAGACAGCTTGACAGCTGCTGTTACAGCAGCCAGTAGCATTGCAGCGTGCATTTTCACCTAACCTTGGGTTCACATTTAGCCAGAGGCACGCATATGGTGGAAACTGGCTTCTTGTAAAAAGTGTTTCAGTGTCTTTTGGTGAGATTTAATGTTAAAAATACGGAAATCTGAACATATCTACAGGTTCATGCTGTTCCTTCTCAACTGGTGTACAATTTAACCAGTGAGATCAGCCTTGTTTCTGGAAAACAAAAATAGTTTCTCAGTGAACGGATGTCTGATCTTCTTAGAGAAAAGGTTACATTGTGTTGAACTCATTCATCGTTGCAGGACTGTTGTCTGCTTTTTATTTCTTTAGATCTTGTCAAAACCTGCTCCTCTGTTTTTAAGCTCCTGGGGCTTCAGGGCTCCAGTTTCAAGCAGAAAAAGATACAGAAGCATTAAGAAAAAGTGCAGCTTGTCCCAGTCGCCAAGATGTTAGCAAATAATTTGACATATTCTTGGTTCGTTTTGATCTCACACCTTTTTCATGTGAGAAATACTAATGGAAAAATTCTTAAAGCAGTTGCACATCTTGGCAGGCAAATTGTTTAGGATCAATTCAAGAAATCAGCAACTGAAATAAAGAACAGCTAAGGTTTAGTATTTTTCATGTTATTAGTTGATTAGTTGAACTGTTTGATCCAGCAAAACCTACTGTCCAATTTTTTTTTAGCTAACGTGCTTCTCTTAGCTTGTCAAGTGTATTTTTGAAGTGGTGTTCCCTTTGTAAGAGCCATGACTGTAGATGTTTATTGCAACTGCTAATATTTTGTGAAACAGACAGAATGTGCTATAGGGCAGCTGAGCAGCAGTGTGTAGTAGGTGGACTTTTTTCCTTATGATTAGGAAAATGTCCATTCATTCCAGCACTTTCTTTGGGTGAAAATGGTGTTTAAACCATACAAATAGTAGGATAAAACATTTTTTTATTGTTTAAATCCTTGGAATACCTTAATAGGCGAAACATATTTGCCATTTCATTCAGTGAATACAATTTGACATATACCCTCTAAAATGCTAACAAATCTAAAATGTCACATTACGTAAAGTTTCCACCCAACCTCTCGCCTTACTCTTTCTTCGCATCTAATTGGGGAGCCATTTTTCTTCCCCCCCCCTCATTTTGCGAATTCTCCTCCCAGCATGGCGGCACCGACACGAAGCTGCTGCATGAATGTAACTAAACAAATATTGTTCTAATTTCATGAAGGGGTGAATCTGAATGCTTTCAATGTGACATCAGCATCTCTCCCATTCACACACTGGCCCATTGTTGTGGCTCTGCCGGTGGGATCGGGGTGGGGGCCGCAGCGCTCAGCTGAAGGCTGCAGTACATGAAGGTGAAGGTAAAGGCCATGGAGTTGCTGGATGAAAAGAATGTGAGAGAGGACTGGCACGGTGGAAATAAAAGAGCAACAACAACAAACCGTACTCTGGCACTAGAGGAGCTGTCACGCCCCCCTTCCCGAAGAGAAAGTTTTTTGTTGCTATTGGATTGTGCCTCTGAATGATTAACAAGCTGCTTGGCTTCACAGAGCTTTAAACCGAGGCATGTGTGCACTGCGAGGTTGGTGGTGGCGTTAAAAAAATGAGACTAAACGGTCCGGAGCCCGTCACATGGACACATTCCAGGATTTGCTGCCATGGCTGTGAACGTGGCCCCCTCTGAGGCAGTCGGCTGTCAGCGCAGGGCACGGGATCCTTCGACCACAGGGCCTGTTGGAATAATGGAAGCTCTTGTTAATTGAATAGAAAACCCTTCGAGTGTAACTGTTAGGACGACCCCGAACAAGTGGTGGTGTTTGAGCAACTTATGGGTCCGAAGAGCAAGCATAAGGCTGCTTGTAATGACAATTAGTGATAATAATGGTTTCCTTTCATTGAGATAGGTGTTCTCTACCTCTGTTTGTTGTTTATTTTTCAGGGGTTTTTTTTGTTTTTGTAAATACAAGCACTAAGATTGCCAAACTCCATTTTATGTTATACTTTGACCTGCTCATACCAATTTTAGCTTACTTAAATTTCTCTTTAAGAGCTGTAATTATTAGCATCCAAGCCTTCTAGTAGTGAGAGGTTGTTACTTGTTTGCATAAGAAGAGGCAACAACACGCTGTGAGAATGAGAAATGATACTTGTAAAATAGAAAATTAATATTTTTCAAACCCAAGTAAAATATTTATGAAGTTGTCTTTATTTTTAAACTGGAGTTAGCATCTTATATTAGCTATTAGCAGGGCTAGCACAGCTAGCCTTACATAATCAACAGTCCCCATGTGTATTCCCTAGAATATATATGATTACTTTAACTCTTGAGACATCCTGGACAGACAGAGCTCAAAAGGATTAAATAAAGCAGTTTGCTGTACCCCTTTCTCAGCTTTCCTGCCAGCATCTGAACGTCTTGCACTCTCACACTCTATTGGAACCTGAATCGCAGACACAATTTGTCTTGTTTTTGAAAATAAGATTTTTTTTTCCAACAGCTTCTTAAATCTGCATCCTTTTAAGGTATTGTATCACTCCACTGATACTAAAACTAACCTTTGAGTCTTATTCATTCTGCATTATAGTGAAAGGTGCTGCCGACAGCACGACCTGCTAGCTGATAAGGTAGCATTAGTCATTAGAGAAGGTTAGATTTTTCTCTTTTTTGTGCAGGAGCACAATTCAAAACATTGAAAATGCAAAACACACAGTCTGGCATGTGGGTTTTATCAGTTTGTCAGGTCACAATCAGATTGTTCACTATGCTGATAAGAGTACTTTTCATTCAGTTTCTACATTTAGCAGTGACTTATTCTAATGCTTAGTACAATTTTAATATTAATAGGTTTTTAGATATAAGCAGCCCAAGTTTTAATACATAATAAGCTTTATGGAAAAAAAATTAGAAAAAAAATCACACTGAGTACTGCAAGATCTTTAAAAAAAAATTGGAAACTTTTTTTTATGAATGTTAGAAAACCTTTATGCATGTTTAATAGACAATGTTGTGGAGCAGAACTGTTCTATTACAGGACCAAACCCGACGTTCTCATAAGTGTCATTAGAAAGAATTTTATACCTTGACATTTTAAAATGTATCTGTAAAGTCTGAAATTGCTTAGAAAAAAAAAAAAGCCAATGTCAAAAGAAATACTTCACAGATGAAGGGAAAATTGATTTCCCTCCGTCAGTGGATTCATCTATTGTCTTCTTTTGTTCCCAGTGGATGGGAGTTGAGCTGGCTGAGAAACGATATCTGATTTCCTATCTAAGGTAATGATCAAAACATTCCATGAGAAACAATGACAGCATAGAGTGGGCCCGTATAGCAATACATTACTATTAAAATAAACTCAAGTCAAAGAATATTAACCCAAAAGACAGGAGGTAGTATTTGCAAAGTTGACTAAAAATCTCATGGCACACAAATCCCTTTGCAGCTGTAAGAAACAGCAGATCTTAAGGCAGGGTTTTAGTTTGTTTTACTCTCAAAAATGCTTTTATTCATCAAGAACAAAGTAGGTTTTCAAGAGCAATACAAGCTGGTGGATCTAGAATTCTGAGTTGTATAAATCAGAATGAAATTAAAGTTTCCTTCCTGTCCATATTATACAGGAAACAAGAGACCTACCCAAGCACCAGCGTTCTGCTTCTTAATGTTACAAGGACTTATTTTTATTGGCTGCTATTCCTAGATTTGGGAAAACAAAGGTACTACCAGATTTAACGGCGTCCCGCTCGAGTCTTTCTGTCACTACCCATGAAAACTGATTGGAAAGGAAATTTACAGCTCCTCTGAAGCAATGTTTCCTGGACATTTTCCCCGAATAACTCACAAAATATGTTTTGAATGGCTCTGTTTTTGGAACAGAGTAGTATCAATCAAAACAGTAAGATCGCCAAGTTGATCCGTCTCGGTGGACTTTTTTTTTTCTTACTCTGTTTGAGGGAATGAAATTATTAATAACTTGGAGAGGAAACAACTCTTGCTCTCTGGAGCTGATGTTGCTTCATTGTTTACCACCACAGAAACGTTGAATCTAGACTGACCATTTATCACCCTGAATGATCCCTTTTTGACAGTTTGGACATGAAGTAATTAGGAATAACGTTCAGAATCATCAACGTGAAAACAGGCCCTTGCACAGGCAGCCAATCGCTTTGGTGTAGAAACAGTTGTAGCTACATTGTACCAGCGGTGACATTAATGGATTTCACAGCTGAAATTTTGTTTTCAATTCAAACCCCGAAGCGTGTGGAAAAATGTTCCCTCTGTTGACCCGTACTTTGTGCTCGAGACACAAAGAATGTCAGGAACAATTAGTGGTTGAGTGCTACATCAGTAACCAGATTGGCCTTGGTGTCCTGTATGAATAAACATGGACTCCTCAGACTGTTCATGAACTATCTGGGCTCCCCCCCGTTTGGTTTGTTCCTGTAATAATTACTGTTCCTTGCAGAAGTGTTCATATCCCTTGAACTTTTTTTCCGCGTTGTCATGTTACAGCAACGAACTTTGTGTCAATCTATTATGTGAAATCCTTACAATCACAACAAAAAATAGCTTATCATTGTAAAGTGGATGGAAAAGAAGGCATTGTTTTCAAAATCCCTTAAAAAGCGAGACTCAACCTTTTCCCTGCATTTACGGCTACAAGTCTTTCGGGGTGCGTGTATACCAACGTTGCCTATCTATTGACGCAGGTTTTGGCCATAAATAATAAAGCAAAATAGCTCTAGCTCAGTCACATCAAGATAGAAAGTTGACAGAGACTGACTGAGCCATTCCAACACATGGATAAGTTTCTGGTTCCTGACCTGGAACGTTTAAATGCAACTGGTCCAAAGCAGTTGAATGAAGTGGGTGAATTACTCACTCAGTCTGTATTCAAGACATTCAAGACATTCCTGCTTATGCCTAATTATTCGATTCAAGTATTTTGAGCAGATCATCCTCTCAAAACCCATGAGGACTGGAGTTTTGGACCCCCTAATTAAAAGAATCCAACTTCGGTCTCACCAGAGAGACAAATGCCTTCTTCCATCTAATCACTGTTCCCCATAAATGGTTTGTGTCACAATTCAAACTGAATTTCTCTAGGCTTTTTTCCAGCACATAACCAATTGTTTTCCTGTTGAGAAATTTGGCCACCTGAGCAACGGTGGGTTTCTTTTACAGTTCCCCCAAAGCTACTATGCGTTTCTTGACAAAGGACGGACAGAGGGAAGGATTTTATTTTTCCCCTTCACTACTGCGTAATACTTGGTGTTGGTCTGGCACATTAAAACCAAATAAAATGCATTAAAGTTGGTTATTTGGAACATAATAAAATGTGGGAAAAGACGCAGGCATATAAAAACTTTTGCGAGGCACAATTGTTTTGCTCGGGCCTCTGTCTTTACCCATGGCGAACTGGATCCATATTTCTGGAGCTCCTGTGTTTAGTTCTCTGATAAAACCAGAGCGCCCGTCTGCCGTTCCACATCAGGCCTGTTGATCTTGATGGTTGATAATATCTCTCATAATAGTGGACCACACTGGCATTCTGTTACAGCACATCCAGCCTGGTGCCAGGGTGGTTCCCACACCTCATACCCTAATTGTCCTCTTTCAGTCAGATTAGCCGATGTCACTTTTGATTAGAAAATGTGAGGGGAGAGCAACATCAAAGTAACACGCTGTGGAAAGAGGATGAAAGATGTTATCGTTCACACTGAGCTGTTTCCTTCTCTATTGTTTATTTGCATGCAAGTGGATCCCAGTAACTTGCCAGCGCATCTGTGGAACAGCAGGGGTCAGGATTTCGTATGCTAAATGCACAGCCTGGCTGACTGCTACCAGTTGTATAAGGTTGTTTTCACTCCTTATAAAATAATGGCAGCTCTCCCTGCTTCTCTCATCTTCCTGTTTGTCTGTTTTTTTTGGTGGGGGGCAGGTTTGTCCTGGGGAATTAGTTTGGATACTAATTTTGTGAATGGAAAAGAAAGAAGCAGACTGAGCTGAAATATTTCTTACCACGTAGCTCGATTCCGTCTTGCAAACGATGCAGAAGTAGGCAGTGGAAATGTGTGAGAACTTTGTTCTTGTTCATGTATCTTGGCATGGTCTAATTCTCTTGGAATGATAAGCATTCGAGGCCGCGGCCATCTCTGGTTACCCAGGGTGTGTTCTGAGGTGTAGCGCAAATTGTTTGAAAGTAATAATAGTCATGTTTAGTCGCCTTTAACTGTTTCACTTTTTCCTGTCTCGTCCATAATTATGTCCTGCACTTAACTTTGCAAGAGTTTGTTTCAAGCTTGCTTTAAAACATGGGCGTAATCCTTGATTGTAAATGCCGACAAGCCTGTTTATTTTTACAGTGTAATATAGAAGACCTCTTAAGAATATGCTTGAAACCTACTTTTTTTTTTTTGGCTCAAATTAAGGACATTTATTTCCTGATTTAAGTACATGGACTGTTGTTGCATTTTGCTTTGATCCTTTTTGAGCTTTCTTGCAACACTTTGCTTTTAACACCTGGCAATTCTGGTTTAAAACAAAAAGAGAAATCATAAATCAAAACCTTTCTATTTCCAATTGACCGACAGGACGAAAGGTGTCACACCTGTGCGACACCCCGGACTCACCAAGCGAGGTAATCACAGGCCCACATCAGGTGGGAAAGTCTTTGCAGGTAAATGGAGGCATGAAGTGAACACATATAGTTTCTTCGACTAAGCAGTTACAGACTAAGAAATTATTTGTTAGAAGAAGAGCAAGAAGTTCTTCAATTTAAATCAGAAGCATCAGATCAGCCTGAGTTCCTCTGTCTGTTCCTCAGTCCCACACTTCACAGCATTGTGGGACACAGCCGAATCCACTTGCCTTCCCTGGCTGTATGTGTATTTTTTGCAATAACATGAACATCACGGGAAGCGTGGAAGATTGAATTTAGCTGTTAAACACATGTCAAGCCACTTTATAAGCATGGAGGAGTCAACAAGCAGCCAGAAGCTGCTTTTTAGAATGAGACGGCGCTGAACTCTGTCCGTCAGTCCGTCTGTCTGTCGTGGTGCACAGGACACTAATTAAAGACGTTTTAACACTTACTCTTCTACGAAAGGAAATATTGTGAAAATTGTTACCAAAAAAGATTGAATGTTGGTCCATATTTTTTCTGTGAATTAAAATTCCACCACTTCAAATGAGTGATATGAAACTTTAATGTTTCGATTAGCGGTGCGTCAGTTGGAGTTTTCTGGTCAATCAATGATCTTTAAAAAAAACCTTACCTGGTGATTCCAGTTTTGGACGATGTCGATTTTTTTTTCCCCCAGATTTTTAACCACAAACGTGTCGATATGGTCTGATGTTTGTCAGAGTAGGTCAGGAGGGAGAGTGACTGATTTTCAGAACTTTGCAGGTACATAAGACAGATTTGATTTGTAAGTATTGGCCGATCCCAGATCTCCCAAAATTAAGTAAATCTGGTCCAATTTATCGATACACCCTACTTTTGAACGTTCACAACATATTTATGGACGTTATTTATGTAGATATGAATACTATCACTTTTTATTTATCAATTTATCCGCAAATTCAAACATTGTTTGAGTAGCACAGTGTTGTAGTGAAAATATTGAGCAGGACTGCTGAGTAAATACAGTTTTTTTTGCCTCTTTTTATTTAAGAGATCCAGATTTAGACTTTATTAGACCAGGAAGCATTCCAACAAAACACTGCAGGAATCAGGGAGTGGCTAAAAATCATGCACTTTGTTGCAAAACATAGAAAAAATAATTGTGCTTTTTTTTCACATAAAAATGCTGCATGAGAGAGAAGTTGCACAGGAAATGTAGTAAATGCACGAATTGCTGTAGAAGTCCTGCACGTTTGCTTCAGTTGCTCCACTGCATGTGTGCTTGTGTTTAAGGCTGCACGTCAGGGTGTGCATGCATGCAGGCATGCATGCAGTGTCCGTGTTTGCTTACATAATGGTTCCTGGTGTTTCTGCTGTGGCGGTTTGAGATCATGGGAAAAGCATGAGGCTGTAACACAGCCGCTGTGTTCCTTCAGTGTTCCAGCCTTGTGGCTTCTGCAGACTGACTCCAGTACAGCTTTAACACAGCCCGCACATTTCCCAGCAGCTTCCAGCATTAAAGTGAGAAGAAATCACCCACTCGGGAGCCCCCTACCCCCAACCCCCTGAGGAATACCTGGAGGACCTTACTTAACGTTGGCCCTCAGAGACAGTGTAGGAACTCAGAAGGAAATACCTCTGACTTCCTCTGCTACTGTTCTCAACATCCTACCTTTATTCTCCAACGCTCCCCACCCCTCATCACACTCTGGCCCCCCCAGGCCCCCACCTCCTCCTCCTCCTCCTCCTCCTCTCCTTACCCAATCCTTGCTGACTGTTTTTGCTCACTGTTCTTGTATTCTTGCTTCTTTTGTTTTTGTTTGTTTCTCTCTCCCCAGGCAGCAACCAAGAAAAAATTTGGGAACGGCGACTTCCGATCAGCCCTGGAGAATGGAGTTCTGCTGTGTGAGTAAGTACTCCTCTTTTCCCAGGCACCTCTATTAGGCCACTCATTCATAAGGAATCCCTCCGCTCTCCTCCACGTCTGCTCTCTTCCAACGTAAGTGCCGCTGATATTTCCCAGGCAGACCCCCTGCCAGGCCACTGTTTGTTTGTTAGCTTGCATAAACGGAGCCAGGGTTGTCCGGACGGAACAATGGAGGCAGTTATTTGTAGGTTATTTGATGCCATCATGATCAGACTTTCTCTCATGCCTTGCTGGTTAGGAGAGCGATGTCTTTCCAGTTGTGTTGCCTGTTGGACAGATGTTATGGATCTGTGGATTGGGCTGCGTGCCGTCCTCGCTGTAATGAGAAGCTGTGCAGTGGATGAAAACGTTTCAGTTTTGACCACAGGAGGGTTTCAAAGCATGCTGCTTTCTAATTTCCCCGAATGGATACGGGACGAGCCAACAAGTCAGTTTTAGGAGCCCATGTCTTTGTGACATTTGCTTTTTTTGCGTTAACTCAATAACTCTTCTCAGTCAGGACATTTGTAAGGCAGAGCACAATGAAGCAGCATGCATATGTGCAAATTGCTTAACGGACACTGCGATGCGATTTGCACATATCAGCATGAGGTTGATAATTAGCAGCAGCCCCTGCAGACTCGTCCAAACCTTTATCGGCAGCCGCTCGAAGGAGAAGAAGAAGAACCGCCTCGCTCTGCTGATTGGGGCCTGACTCTGACGAACAACGCCGTCTGCAGTTTTATTTTTTTTTTGCGTTTCTTTTTCTTTTCAGTCATCAAGCTGTCCGTGTTTTCCCAGCACGAGGAAGAGGAAGGCAGATTAAATCACCTTCACCTACAAACACAACCCTCCTGCTCCCATTGTGTTGCAGATATCCCAGTTTCTTGCTCACAAAGGAATGTCCAGTGTTGCTCTCACACAAGATTATATCCTACTCGGCCTTAAATGTGTGTCTTATCTCATGAAAATCCATTGTTTCGCTGTTAAATGACCAGTATGAACCCAAGTGCGACCCCCCCCCACCCCCCAATCCCAACCCCACACTCTTTCTTTAAGTCTATTGTCAGCCTATCCCATCCGCCTACAGCCAGAAAATTGCTTAATCTTATATGGAGTTCAGTTTCTTTAAAACAATGGCTTCTTTAGTTGCATGTTTTCAAAAATATTCCCACAACTTACTTTTTAAGTTCATTTCTGCAGTTGTTCCATCATAACTAGGCGTTGTGGAAGCTGTGCAAAAATATTTACCATGCAATGACTGTATGATTAGCATTTTTTTGGAAAAAATAATATATATTTTGACTTGGGCCATTTTAATAGAAGACTTGAGAGCTAACATTTGTCATGAATTAAAGTAAATTGGTGCCTGGCTAAACATAGATATATGCCTTTTTTCAACTACGTTCTTTGTGCTTTACGGTTCCAACTGCTGTGTTATCCTGAAGACATCACCTGATTGATTTATCTCCAAAGTAAACGCTGATACTCGATTGCTCTAATTGAATTAAGATAAACTAAGTGCTATGGTTACACTTGGTTAAAATAAGATAATGTACAAAAATGTTTCAACCATCAGGAGTAGTCGCGGGTAAAACGGCTCAGAAAGAGAGTCAGCTCCCTCCTTTTGGTCTTTGGTGACGGTTCTCAACTAGAAGAAATGGGTTTTCACATTCTGGAAACTCATCCCAAGTGAATGACTTCCGAGGAATGTTGCTGTATTCTCTTCAGCCTTCTTATTATCTGCTCTCTCTTGGACTCTCACATGAATCACGGACATGTCCCAAAATGTTGTGGAAAATACCAATCCTTTTGAATAGCTCCTGTTGCGTCTCTGGTGTTTCTTTGGCCTCATTACTAAACACCTCATTGTTAGCAAAAATAGTTAACTCTGAGTCCTGGATGTGCTTATACGCAGTGGGTTCATTTGTCAGAAAACAATCAGACTCACAGGTTTCTGATCAGGAAGTCACTTCTTGATCTTCATGGAGCTTCAAACTAATTGTTGTCCTATTTCAATTAACAGCTAATTTCTCAGTGCATATCTCATAAATATCTTAACTGGATAATGTCTAAAGGCTGAGGTATGTTTGAGTTTCCCCCCCTTGATCTGTTAGATGTGCAACTCGATCTCATATGTGTGGAAGATGGATAATAACTGAAGTAAATTGTGCTGGAAACATAGTACAGATAAGACTGTGAAATATATTATCTGTGCTCAGATTCTGTGATTGTGAAAAACAATTTATGCTGCAGAGTAAAAAAAACCTTCTTAAACAGCCTTACTACAAAGGTTGTCACTGCAGGCAGTTGTTTTTATTTGATATCTTTTTGTTATATTGACTCTTACTCAATAACTTTCCTTCAAAGTGGTTTTAAACGGCACCACAAGTCCATTATCCTCTACCTAAAACCGTAGCTGTTTTCCGAGTTTAAATGTGGTTATTCAGGTTTGTTTTGAGGTTACTTCTGCAGTGGAGGGCATGTTTTTGGAAGCACAAGGGCTCATTTTTGTTTACACCATGGCGCGGCACCGGTGATTTACTAAACTGAAGCCAGGTGGCCACCATTAAACCAGGTCGTAAACACACAACACCACCAGGACTGTGCATCAAGTCCTGCTCATTCCTGCGTAGCTGGGGCAGCTTCGACAATGAGCGGGTGCTTTCACTTACCTTTTAATTTCCCCTGATGTTCTGTGTCTCTTTCCTCTGCTTACAGTCTGATAAACAAGATCAAGCCTGGCACCATCAAAAGGGTCAACAGGCTCCCTACACCTATTGCTGGACTGGTAAGTCGTCTTCTGTTCTTGTTTAGTCTTGGACTGTGTTTTCAAATTATGCCAACATAGCCGTCAGTGAAAGCGTTTCTAAGCTTTACACCACATAATTTTCTCACGTTTTTCCTCACGTTTGTGACGCTGCTGATGTTCGGCGCTGTGAGTTAAAGCAAAGGGAATAATGATGTTTGACAGGTCAAGGTAATTATATATGTGCTTCCTCATACTTGCCCAGTAAGTTTGGTGAATGAGGAGCTGCTTCAAAGGATGCAAATCGCTTACTTAACAATTATGTTACAATAATGTCAGACAGTCATTGTAAAGTGGGATTAAAAAAAGGAAATAGCCAGGTTGTGATTCATTCTGAAAATAGGTAATGATGAGTCTTCTTTATTTTGGCAACATCCAGACTCTTTAATGACAGGCAGAGATTAAAAGATGAAAAGGATAAGACCAAAAAAGCAACAATAGTCCTGGCTGGTATTCCATTTCTGGTTGGACAAAACATTTCCAAAACATTTGGGTTAGAATTAATTTCCTCTGGCAGAAATAAACAACTGCATCTATCCAAAGTCTAGATTTTGGTTGTTGCAGCCGTAATGAACAACTGAAATGCTGACTTTGCATCTTCTTCCTTCAGTAACAGCCTCCACACAGAAGAGGGTGGAAGTGCAACACAGATTGATTACTACAATCCGATTACTCCCAGTGCATGCACTGATCAGAATCAAATTTTTGAGTTTCCAACAGGTTGGCCAATTTTCAGGACTTGGTCGGGCCTGTGGGTTCGATTACATCTTTTTTTTATTCACCACAGCTTCATTGGACAAGGCGCTAAATCCCAAATTGAACTACATGCTGCAAAAATAATGTATGAATGCGTATGCATTTGTGAGTGTGGATAGCTGCATGTCACTCCAGTGCATAGATTCAAAAGTACTATAGCTTAGTTTGTTTACCATTTAATCAAGTGCATCTCCAATGTAGTCCAATCAGGTTTTATGTCTTTCTTGAAAACTGGGTTTTTGAATGATGGAGCAGTTTGTCTTTTAAACTCTTTAAGATGCCAGTTATAAATCTTAACTGGAAGATGTGGCACATTGCACATCTTCCAGTTAAGGCTTTTGGGCCACTATGGCTCTCTGCAGATGGATGTTTTGGGAGTGCCTGCAAACAAGTTCTTGGGAAGTAGAGGCTTGAAAACCTACCTAATACCCATCCCTGTGAAAGCTCTCTCTAGTGGGAGTAATTGAGTCCAGCTGTCTAGAGGAATTATAGACATCCCTCTCCAAAGCATTGTGTGTGTGTGTGTGCGTGTGCATGTGTGTGTCTCAGCATGTTCATGAGACAACGAACGTCGTCAGTAAAAACAGACTGTAAATCATAAACTGTCATATGTGTTTTGTGACAAAATCAACTTTCTTTTCTTTTTTTTTTTTTTTTTGCCATTTGCTGTGTTGACGTAAAGGCTGGGCACCTGCTGAGGTAATGGGTATGGCTCCATCGCGGCGCTTGTGTGGTATTTCCGAGGCTTGGACGCAAACCTGAAACCACCTGATCATAAATTCCCCCTTCCAAAGGCTTCTGGCTGGCCTGAGGCTATCCGTTACTGCCGGCCACATGGAGCGAGGCTGGATGCTCTCCCGACAAACATTACTCACTCTCACTCTGAGAGTTGTTGAGACTTTACTCCCTCAGCAGTAAAGTGGTCTTGCCATCTCCAGTCTTTAAAAATAGCAGGGAGTGTGAGGATGGGATAAAGTGTTAGGCGGTGTTTAAAGTAGAGAAACACCGATCGCTGACTTCCAGTCTTCATTCTTGTGAAGCTTTGATCTGTCGAGGCCAATTTTAGCTGAAATGCAGCACTGTATACAATGTTGACATAATGAGGGCTTCAGTTGGCCTTATTGTGGCATTTTCCTAAACAAGCATTCTCCCTTCATTCATAAAACTAGATCTACATCTGCAAAATGTCTTTTAATTCAAGCCAGAACACTCTTATACTTATGAGCCACCAGCTGGTGGTGATAATGTTTGCTCAAACAACAAAATTAAGGAGAATGCTCTGAACGTACATGGCTAAAGCAGAAAGCTAGGCTAAAGTTTAAATGCTACCACCCAAGAGAAAGTAGAACTTTTAACAATTTGTGTGATTTACGAAAGGCTGCCGTTTCCAAGTCCAAAACAGAAGTTAGAATTTCAAAAGGATAAAACAGAGCAGCTTAGCTTTAATATATGTTTAGCCTTCGTGGGATCTGTTAGCGTTAAATTCGGATCAATTCATCTCTTTGCCAAGTGGATGAAATGTCCTCACTGTGTTATGTGGCAAAAATACCCAATCAAAAGTGGAAAAGACAAGAAAAGGCAAACCATTTGTACAGTTCCCACTGGAAAATTGTGCTCTCCCTCTGCATTTAGTGGGTGGATTTGTCAGCTGTCGTCCTCCTCCAACCTCCTCTTCTTCTACACGTTTTGATTCCACTCATGTCCCCCACTACTCTTCTTACAGCTGACCAACAGGAAAAGGAATGTTTTTGGCTTTTTATTCCCTACTCTGTCAGAGATTGGTTGTTACTTAAAACCAACCTGACAAGAAGAGCTATTTGTAACTACGCCTCATTGCCACTTAAACGTGAACATTTGCCATCATCATCATCATCATCATCACCATATGTTGTTTTACTTTTGCTATCTGAAGGATTTTAAATGGTTTAAATTGATACCAGCTTAAAACTCTGGCAGAGCAAAATCCCAAGGAAGGAATGGGAATATTTAGCAATGCTGGCTCCCAACCTGGGTCTATTCTTTGGTTTTACTTGTGTCCAAGTGATTTTTTTTTTTTCCTGTCAGCACATTTCAGTACTCTGCAGGCTGTGGGTTTGGACCATCTCAGCCCCAGCATTGGGCCTGGTTCTGCCCACCCAAAATACACAGTAATTGGTGTGGTACTGGATGTCCTCTGCATACACCAACCCCTTGGTGAGTTGAGGTACCAGAAGGAGGAGGCAAGCAGGCAGTTTCGATAGGCCCCAGGGTGTCTTTACACATGTAGATGTGTGTGTAATCATCTGTGCAATGACAGGCATTTGACCATGCTTTGTTACTGTGTTTATGTTCTACGGGTGCATGTTATGACTGGATCGGACCGCTGGAACTGTCTGGCTCAATAAAGCCCTGTTTGAGGAGTGGCAGCATGTCAAGTATTCCAATCTCCTCTTACTTTCTTTTCCCAAGATTTGGAAGTGTGTAGCCTGATATTTTAAGCATAGTTTTTCGTGCTATGTTTGCTTCATAGGTCGTGCGAGGGTAATCTGAGAGTAATCCTCGTTATTAACCCGACGAGCTACCCGAGGGACGTCAAGATTGCACATTTAGGAATAAAATGCTAAGTCAGACGTCCTGTGAGGCAAATCTTTTTCTTCCTTGTTGTGAAGTGCTTGAATCAGGGTTTTTCCAGTGTCCATTAGATTACCCTTTTTCAGCAATGCACTGACGATAGGTAATGAAATATGAACTTCCACTGTTAAAAAAGTTTCTTTAAATAAGTTCCATCTCCTTTACAATTACATTGGTGCACAAGTAACCAGCTGAACAAAAAGTGTTGGTAAACAGCCTGGCGGATGAGAGACTTTTGACCAGTTTTGATGTAAATTCTGTTGCACTTCAGTCGCACGGGGTTCAGCTTTACCTGTTTGAACCACGATTTGACTCCAGTGACCTCTGAGCCTTGACAGATGTCGCTGTAGGAAGCTGGGGTAAAACGCAAACAAGGACATCACCCTTCCTAATGACTTGAACTTCTTCTGTTGTCAAGGGATAAGATTTGATTGAAAACATGTTAAAAAGAAATGGGAAACAAAACACAAAGATACATATTTATGAATGTACTCAAACGTAATTCCAATAAGGTGCCTCCTTCCTTTTGTGGCGTCACAGGAGGCATATTGGTTTTTTGAGAGGGTAGGTTTTTATTTTATCAACTGACAAACGAAAAACCGGACCATGGTGATTACGAACTATGTAAAATGAGTTTGACTGATCTGATGGTTTGTGTGGTCCTTTTATATATAATTATTCATGATAATTATGTTGACTTTAAGGGTTTTGTCATTTTTCAGACAAATCCCCTTTTCAAATGTCTGCTATGCCAGAAAAATGACAGAAGCAAAGTTTAATCTGAAAAAAAAAAAAAAAAAAAGTTTTCTTAAGTCTAGGTGCTGCTTTTGATTTTGGTACCACTTGATTTTTTAAATAGGAGTCATCCAAGGCTGCATTCGAACACAATGGCTGAATTACAAGGAACAGGAAGAGCTGCAACCCATTGTCAATAAACACCCACAGATTGTTGGCAAGTCCATAAGGACAAAGGGAAGCAGTTAAGATCCTGTAATCAAGGAAGGACGGAAAGAAAAAAAAACATTTTGCTTTCGAAACCACAGCAACTGGTTTCCTCATATTCCACATACTTGCATTGTCTGTAAAGATGGAGGCTGTGCAACACAGTCGTAAACATCCACCTGTCTTTAAATTTACCTTGTTGCGTTTTCAATACTGTTGCGTTTGTGCTGGATTTCTATTGGTGTTTCTGTTGGTTTAATGTTTTGAGGTGTTGACGATACCGCTTGCCTTTGAAAGAGAATCAGGCCCCAACATCTCACATGCTCCACCATACCTGACCCTTTTAACTGGCAGTCAGATTGTAGCAATTGGCAAGTTTAGGCAAATTACTGTAGCTATTTTTCAGACATCTGTCATTCTTAAATGTCGTGCTTTTCAAATTTCAAGGGTGACTAAGAAAAGAGCCGCTGTCATTTCCTGTTTATACCATTGTGAAGCAGGAAATCACATACTGCTAATTAGAAGTTACTCAACATGAATGAATTTTAAGTATAAATAAATAAAAAAAACTGCTATATTTATTCTACAGTAATTTGTAGAGGTGTGATTAAGTATTAGATCTGATATTAAAAATAGAAAATATATTTTTCATTACTGAACAAATAGATTTGTTAAGTTGCTTTTTATAGCTGTTTGCATTTGTATCTGTATTTAGTTAAGATATTAAAAAAAAACTAAACAGTAGATATTTTGACATCTTTTTTATCCAACATTTAATAAATATTAAGTTGTTTTTTGTTTGTTTCCATTTCCATCTTTGTGTTTACATTTAGATTTTATAATTGTCAATACATTCAGTTACCATATAAGGGATTTGTGGGGGTCATTTCGTTGACATAATCCAGTTTATTAACCAGCAATGTAATCACCTAAATGCTACGCTGGAGAGTTGCAGCGCTTTTGGAACCATAAATGGTTTAAAGCTGTGCTTCGCCGGCCCTTTCCTTGTAATTTAGCTGTCGTGTAGTTTTAGTTCAGTCGAGACTAATTATGCCTGTCTGCTGAGACATTTATCTCATGCTGTCAATACTGAAGGTGTAGAAAGGTGTGTAAACATTTTAAAGACAGTTAATGGAGTTAAACTTTCCAAATAGGTAGCTCACTGCCATGTGTCCTTTGTCATTTGCGGTTCACATACAGGCTGTACTCGGTGATGTTGTGTCATAAATTTAGGCTCAGTGAAATAAATGCACACTGGAGAGGCATGTAATGACAACAAACGATGGGTTTGGTAAGAGCCCGAGAAAATCGCTCAGCTTTTTGCTCTGACAACTTAAAGCTTTATAAATATTGCAAATGTTTTAATAGTTTTTGTTATTAAATTTTTAAAAAAAAGGTGAGAACATTTTAACAGTGTGTTCAGGGCGACAGTTTTCCCACCCGACTGATCCATCGCCCCTCAGTAAAATCCCCAGCTTGTTTCCTATTATTAATTAAGATGCATCTTAATGCATCTTAATTAAGGTATTAATTAAGATGCAGGTGTTGGGAGGTTAGATGCTTCTTTGACCAATTACTAATAAGCATGTTTGTCACATAAACATAGAACCACCCAGCCCTTAATTATGCCAGCCGATGAGATCACATCAAAACCCTTTTGAAGCAAAAAAAAACAACAAAAAAAACAAACAAACAAAACAAAACAAAAAAATCAGAATCCAGAAAAGCAATGGTGCTTTTGTACTGGAAGGTTTATTTTGAACTCGTGAGGTGTGAGCACATTTATAGCACAAGACGTCCTCCGGCTCACATCTGTGCAGCTCCTGCGCTCTCAGACATATCCTTTATGCAATGTGACTGACACGGTGTCGGAGGACAAACCGTCTCTTCCACTCCCACGTTTCCATGAATAGCTACGGGGAAATAGTTGTCCACCTCTGTCACCCGACCTCATGTTTCGTAGCAACTGAATGTCTACAAAATACTACTCAGGTATGTTTTGATTTAAAAAAAAAAGGCTTGGCAGGGAGGACAGGGTGCAGTTTCTGGGTGTGAGAAGAAGTAGCAGCAAAAGAAGGCCATGTGCTGCTGCTGCGTGCGTCACTTTTGCACTTGCATGGCAGGTTGGGTGGGACTTGTACATGCCTCTGATGTCATTCTTCCTGCTTTGGTTTGGTCCCCACCCTAATCCATCCCACAGGTGGCTTCGCCTCTGTCACTCAGCTCCTGTCAAGCAACCCCCGCCTCCTCTTTCATCTGTCTCTCTCTCTCTCTTTTTCTCTCTCTCTCTCTGTGTGTGTGAGTGTGTGTTCTGCTCCGGGTCACTTCTTATTTGCTGCACTCACACGCTCCTCCCTGCAAGCCGCTGTTCCCTGTGGTGACCTGAACTTTGGAAGCAATCAGTTGTAGGCTGGTCCCTGTCAGGGAGTTGTTTTTTTATTTTTTTTTTTTTTTTCTCCTCCCCCCACCCCGTACCGTTTTTTTTTTTTTTTTTTGAGCGATTACTTTCTGCGTCTGAGCACAGGGGAACAGCAATCATACCTGCTTTGTTCTCTGTCCAGGACAACCTTAACGTCTTCCTCAAGGCCTGTGGGAAGCTTGGACTAAAGGAGGCACAGCTCTTTCACCCCGGGGATCTGCAAGACTTGTCCACCAGAGTGACAGTAAAGTAAGTTTTGATCTTGCAAACGCTGCTTTACACCCACTCACCTCAGGATAAACTTTACATTAAGAGAACCGTCTGTCACCGTACTCTTACCTTTCGCTTTAAAGTGCCATGAAGCGTGAGTTTCTTCACATAAAGTGTGATTCCGGCTGTATTTAGATGTTGCTTGTGCTTCTTTCAAATGGAATGGCGTCTCACATCGCTCACATCACTCAGAGGTGATGTGAGCGATGTTATAATTTAACTTAACAGTTTGATCAGACAACGTCTTGCTGGAGTTACACACTGGGCTTGTTAATTTTCCATTCCACGCATTGTTTTGTTTTCAGTTAGCCACCTGTCAGAGAGGCATGTCGACCAACCAGTTCAGTTTTGCTCCAACTCTCAGTCTGTCTGCTGAGATGGACTGTTTATACAGTATTTTGCTGTGCAAGCAAAAACCCAAAACACTTGAACACTGTTCAAGACTCAAACGAGGTTAGAGTGTTCACATACAGCAACAAGCTGAGGGGATTCATCCAGAGTTAGTTGGTTTCCCTTCAGTTGGGTCCGGTGTACTTTCTGTCAAACAAGTTACACCTAACTTGGCCACATAATTGCGCCGTTTAATTTCACCTCGGGCGTTATCACCTTGAGAAAGTAGTTTCACTTCCTGGAGCGTTTTCTTTGCTTTGATTCCTTCCAAAGTGTCATCCTAATAAAACAATAAAGCATGCACAGTCGGCATGTGTGCAATTGTGTGTGCGTGCGCTTGTCACATAGGATGTACTGTTGGACTCCAAATAAGCAAATCTGTCTTCTGTTTTATTGAGACACACCCTCGGCCCACAGCAGATGACAGTCTGTGTTCAGATGCAGCTCACTAAATGTCTAAATCAGGGCTGTAAATGTAACGATAGCCCTTTGATGCGCTGAGCGTTGCATAAGATTTTCGCAGGGTATTGGCCGTAAAGCACTCTCGATATGACAGCAGAAAATTACCTTCCTTTTAATGGCAGCCAGATGAAGCAAACCAATATATCAGTAGGCGAATGCGGATAGAGGAAAAAACATAAGCGGCCTCAAAGTTCAGTTCTTCTGCTTCTGTTGAGTGAGTGAGTTCCCCCTTGTTCTATTCTTAGCTCTTTGGGGGCTGGTGGGGGGGATCACTTTGACAAGCTGGATTGATTGGAATGGTGTCGGCGCTCACAGTGGACGAGCTTTTAATAGATTATCGGTACGTCCTGCTCCGGCGTACAGTCGTTCAGAGCACACCTGCGTTTGTTTGCATGTGGCATTTAAAGTCGGGTTGGGTTTTAGCTGCTCTTTCATACAGGAATGTGGACATTGTTGCTGCTGGAAAGCATCACGTTTGGTAAATTAACCTGAAGCTGTTTGTGCTCTTTGTTATCGTTTTTTTTTTTTTTTTTCCCCTCTTTCACTCTTTTGAGAGTGGCCATAGATGAGACTAAAGGTATAATTACGTCGCTGCAGTCAAAGGGACCCGGCACACAAAGAGGTAACATGAGTCGAAAATGCCAAACAAGGCTGCAGACGTGCATCCAACGGCTTTATTGCTGTGCAGCTTATCGGAGTCTACGCAAATTAGCTCCAGAGTGAGAGAGAGAGAGACAGAGAGAGAGAGAGAGAGAGAAAGTTATCTCTATCAGCTGTCTGAATCCCGGTGTTTGTCCAGCCTCCACTCCCCTAAAGCCCAGCCTGACAGGTGCTTTGCTTAGCGCTGTTGGATTTTGTTTCCTACTGTTGTTATTCTGTTTGATTAGAGATCAAAGATTTTCTTTAATCTTTTTGATCTCAGAATATTTTGCTTTTCTCTTTCCTTTTTAAGATCATCTTTAGAGTGGGGGCAGGGGGGCGATGAGGATAATCAACACTGTTTGGCATTACTTTCTATAAACATCAGCCAGAATGTGTATTCACCAGAGAATGAAGATCATCAATGTACTATTTCCAAATTCAGCATAATAAATAGTAAGCTGAAGCTTAAAGCCTAAATCAATAAATTGGGATAATTTTAATACAATACATTTAGCCTTACTATTATCTATGTGATGAAGGAACCGCAGACATGTCTAAACATATGTAGAAAATAACACTTAGTGTTGTACTTCTGTATCTATTTTTTGCCTCCTCTGATATTATTTGAACAGATTATTGCTAAAAATAAAATAGCTAACTTTCACACTCGGTTTTTACATCCAGTTATCCCTCAGGTTTAGAGCTGAAAATGATGTCTGATGTTTGAGTTTGCGTTCAGTCAGACACAGTTGAGCTGAAAATCATGTCATTCCGGTCACATCTTGTACTATTGTAAGACTTAATTCTATCGGTAATTGTTACAGATGCAATCATTTACATAATCAGATAAAAACAGGACTACAAAGCTTTGGTGTTTTGTTGACCAACCAGTTGGTTACTTTGTTAATTTAATTAATTTGTTTATTCCTAATCATGCAACTGCTTTAAATTAGAGTCGTTGCGGTGAAAAACAATCCTCATTGATTTTTCCGGTGATTGGTCTTCCATATCATCGTGGTGCGCTGCGAAGCTGGAGTCAGACATTGACTGACAACGTGTGCTGAGAACACAGTTCAGTTCACGCAACGTTCTTGTTACGACAGCCATAAACGCAGATTGAATATCTTCCCTGACCTTTGAGCTGTGAAGATGCTGTAGTATTCACCTTCCTGTTATGCTGCATTGCTTTGTGTTGTGCAACGTTTGTCCTGATAAAGACCTTTATCAATCAACAGCCCGGTCGGTATCAAAATTTTATTGCAGCTAAACAAATTCTTGTGATTTTGCAACACCCTGATAAGAAGGGGTGACTGTGCCGGAGGATTCGGACCAATTAAAGATTGTCATAAAAAAAAAAATAAATAAAGAGCAAATGTAACGCCTTTGTTTAAAATTGTGACCAGACTGGATCCGATGCATCACAGGAGACTGTGATTCACCAAACCAGCGTTGCTACTTTTCGTCATCTCTGCAGGAAACTGCAGCGATCCAGATGAGTCATTGAATTTAAAGATATTTGGAGGAATTTGACACCACCCACTGCCTGTTGACTCGCAGATTTATTTTGGGAATTATGCTTCATAGGCTGCACAACTGAGACTAAAACCCTGGAGAAATGAAGAAGGAGCAGGATGTAGGGGGGAAACTGTACCTATACGTAATGCTGGCGAACATTGTCTCAGCAGGGAGGGTGTGAGACCTGGCCTGTGGCTTTGCCTCAAATCTTGTCTCTTTCTTTGCTCTATACTGAATAAAATGGCTACTGGGACCTGGTCTCCTTGACGATATTTTGTTGAAAAACTACAACATTTTTTATGAGCCATTAAAGTGTTTTTCATTCCAACAACCCGCGTTACAAAACCTTACAAGCATCAACATCATAAAGACGACCTAAGAGATCAACCAGCATAACTTTATTAAAGGTTCTCATCGATCAGAATTGTGAATCGTGTAGCTGTGAGCTTGTAGCTTGTAGCTGTTAGCTACAAGCTACAAGCAAGCAGAAAAATGTCTCTCATTCTGAGAAAAAAATAACTTGATGTAGTGACTATTTGTCCCAAAACTTAAATTAAAAAAAAAAAACAAACAAAAAAAAAAAAACTCAAAAGTGACCAAAACAAAGGTGAATCCAACTCAAATAGTCACCTGATGCACCGTGGATTCTGGTTTATGCAGTACAAAGGATCAAAAAGGTCAAATATATAGTTCTTTGGCTTTATTTCACAGTTCAGGCAAAAAGGTTACAGGCTTCTGCTCCTATTCCTGTACCTGTTATCTGAGTGACGATTAGAGACTGATGTGACTGATTCTATAGGCTGGTAAAAAACCTTGTGACCACCCATGTGCATAATAAGCTGCCCAAGAGACCCACCTATTTATACCGTGAAATACCCACATCCCAACCTGAAATTAATTAACTAATTAAGTTAATTCCTAATCAAAGAACTTATTCTAAACAACAAAACAAAAATTCTAATGATAAATCAACTGGGAAATAAACAAAAAAGACTAAACAATTTCAATTCTAAGATTTAACTAAAAAATGGGAAAATAGCTCCTACACTTAAGAATCAAAATATGCAATCAAAGCTCATTTCTCATGTCTCACATATGAACTTCTTTGTGGGCATGGTTAATACATAAATTAGTCAGAAGTTACTTGATTTTTTTTTTCTTTTTGCTCCCTGTAAGTGACCAGAATGTCAAAATTCCCCTCATACGTGTCTGTGTATGTCCCTTTCGTCCCCTATTTGAATTCAAGGCCATTAGAGGTGTATATAGTGGAATATATAGGTTGGATATGAGTTGGATTGTTATTTTTAATTGAATAAGAAACCCAGGCATCTGCTTATTGACCCCAGTGACTTAGAAAATCAACCCCCTGCAGAGAGGTCCAAAGTCTCGTTTTTTTCCACAGTTTGATTGAGCAAATTATTGACAAGGTGTGACTGCTGCTCTCCCAAACAACAAAAATAAAAGGAAACTACTTAAGATGGACAGGTACATCAAGGTTTATGTTACCATTCAGGAATTTCAAGGGCATCTTTTACAGGACAGAGGAGAGGAGTGCCTACGCAATGTGGTTCCATTATGTAATGGCTTTGTTTGGCTGCAGACCAAACGTCCGCACTACCACAAAAGAACATTTTTTGCTTTTCCTCACAAAGTTTCACTCGCCACACAGAATGTATTTTAGGTGGACATACACTGTACCAAATGATTTAGCTGTGTAAAATTAGTAGCTAAGTTCGACTGCGTAGAAAGAACGAGAGTCACGCCTAGTTTGTTGGTACTGAGGGTGTGGCTCACTGTGCACTAATGGTGCGAAGACGACGTTTCACAAAACCATTAGGTTTCATGGTTTTATGTAAAAGGCACGGCCATCACTGTTTGTCCAGTTGTGTAACTGAACAAGGAGCAATGCCAGGCAACCTTTAAAGTTTCCTCGTCTGCCAGTTGTGACCCCCGGCTGTACCAGGCCCAACACAAGGGTTATGTTTGTGCTCTGTATGCTGGCTGGAGAGGGAAATGCCAGCCTCACCCTGCTCCTTGCCCACAGAGGCTGCTGTGTCTCAGATAAGCACGCCACAATGATGTCCAACACTGTCGCAACCACAGCTGATTCCACTAATTAAACTGAGAGCAACTTTCTTTTTAGCACTGCTGAGATTATCTTGGATTGTTGCTGTGACCCGCAGCAGAGTTTTATAAAGCGGAGAGAGAGGGAAAAAAAACAGATTTATTTCTTATTGGTGTGGTGAGACAGATGTTGAAAGAGTGAAAGATTTTCATTTCTAAGGTATGTGTTTTTTTTATTTTTTATTGGGAAGTAGCTTGCTTGTCTTTGTGACATTGATGAAGCTGAGCAGGTTTGCTGGTATGTTGCGGTTTACTCTACATAGTTTCAGGCCATGTAAAAAGGTTTCACATATTTTGCTCATCACTCGACTGTAGATCTTAACATGTCTTTTCACTCGTGTTGCAGCACAAGCGAAAATAGGAAATTGGAAAGAGAATTTTCTTTGCTCTCTGTTAGGAAAGTCATTTGTCTAAAATTTGAATAGTAGCCCATGTTTCCTTACTTCCTTTTTTGCATTTTTTGTTTAATTTATGTGTTGGCGCAACTCACGCTCACTCCTCGTGAAAACGATTTAAAAGGCTTGTCAGATGTTGATTATTCAGCTTTTTATGTCTGGTTTTTGATCTTCTCTATTGTGTGGTGTCTGTCCACAGTAAAACCTTTTTCATGTCATGATGAATACTTCAGATATTACCAGAAATATTAAAAATGATCCATTTTGTGTGAATGAATTTTAACAAATTTGTTTTAAAAAAAAAAAAAAAAAGAAAAACATCTACTAGCCAACCACTTTTTTAGGTATTACAAATAAAGATTCAGCCAATCACATGGGAGCTGTTCAGCAAATTTAGGCGTCTCAGGATGGAGAAGATGACTTGCTGAAGTTCAAACCAAGCATCTGGTGTACCTAATAAAATGGAAAATGGGTGTAAGTGTGAACGTGTTGCTATTTTGTCACTTGGTCCTGTGTCAGAGGATGTGTTTTTTTTGTTTGTTTTTTTTTTTTAGTTGTACACTCTGTGCTGTTTTGTACCAGACTCCTGATGTTTTGTTTTTTTCCCCCAGTGATTTTGCTTCATCATATGAGAGCTCAGCTGATTCTGACATCTATGTGCGAGTCCTGAGGCACTTTTAAAAAAAGAGATCTTTTTGTTTACTCCTCTCCTTTGCTGCTGCTATTCCCAATGTATGACCTTAAATCTCCTTTTATTTCCAATAATAATACTTTGCAACTGTTTAAAAAAAAAACACAAGAAAGCATTGTTTTATTCTTTCTTTGCCGGGTTTTTTTTCTTTGCCTATAAATTTGTGCAAGGCCCAACTGAAAAAAAAAAAAAAATAAATAAAACCCGTCCACTTCAGTTTTCACTTCTGGCAAATGACCGTGTTGGAAACTCCTCGTGTGAGATGACGCACACTGGTGGGAAAGGGGATCTGCCACCCATCCAGTGAAATGCCATAAGCGGTTGAACGTTGCAGTGCTGTAATCACAGCAGTTTAACTCACTTAAGAGGAAAGAGTTCCACGTAAATATACAACATTCACTTTTGACGTACAAACAAAGAGCTACATGCTCCACGGAGCGCATTAGTTAGCTGCAAACTCAACGACTTGACTGTATTTCTCTTTCCGACACAACACAGCTGTTTTGGGGGCAGGGGGACTGAACTTGACAGCCAACAGAGAAAGTTCCCAACGACCTGGCAGTTTGCTAGAGAGACGACCTCACCAAGTGTTGCTGGTACACACCCAGGATTTAGTCCAGGCAGCTGCTGTGATACTCAAATGCTTTTACCAGGTGGCAAAAAAAATACAATCTACATGAAAAGTCTTCATCCTCAAATGCAGATGAGTAAATATAGTTTCTTATAGTTTCATAGTTATAGTGAAGGTAAAGCAAAGTTGTTGAACCTCCTATGCTGGTAGTTTTAAATGCATATCTACTTTCCGGCTCACAAACTTATTAGAAACTTTACTACTGCACAAAGAAGAACTTGCAAAGAAAAATACATTTATGCAGACGCAGATGTTGGGCAGCAGTATGAAGGAAGAAATAAAACAAAAATAACACTGCCTCTTAACGACAAACCGGTGTTTGCCCTGCAGCTCAGCTTGCTGCTGCAGGAAGCTAGAAAAGTAGCAGTTTTGCCATGAATGACTGCTTTAGAAAAAATAAGCAAATGGCATTTTTAATGCTTTTGGATTATCTGCTCTGTGCCAAACATTTGAGTGTATTCATTAGTGCCTCTGTACATGTTGAGTTATTATTGGCTAATTTTATCAGCAAAGTTGAAGATTTGTTGGGCAGTGTGCTACCAGGGCTCACCATCAGACTAGGTTAGTGAGAAACTTTTAATAAGATTTTAATATTTCGTATATAAATATTTATGTCTGTACTTATAGCTGTGCTTTATCAATAATTCTATGGTAAATATTTGCACTTAGCTTCAGCAGAAATCCTTCTTGCAATTTCCAAAAGATTTAAACGTACTGATGACACTTATTGATGAATAACAACGGTAAGTGTGTTTGTATTCGTATCTCACTTCTCTTTGAGTGCAGAAAACAGACTTTCAGTTCTGTGATCTTTGTCTGCCATGTTGCCCTCTGCTCTGTTGTCATGATTTGGCGGTTTTGTGATGGTGAGAACCAACGCAGGGAACCAGCTTGAGATGATGACGATGAAAAGTTTAATAAGAAAGTCAGGTTCAGGCAGCACGGCAAAAGGCTTAGCAACAGCTAAATACCGGTAGCAACTGAAAATACAAGACTGAAAACGAGAGCTGAGTCGACACAGGACTTATCAGTTCTACTGTGACGACGACTGACGGTGACACACAAACACACAAGGATCTGACAAAGAACAGAGACATTAGGTGGGCTTAAATACACAGGGAGTAATCAGGGGGACCAGACACACCTGGGAAACAAAAAGGGAGCAGAAAGGACAACACAGACTCACAGGGGAACAGAACTAAATGAACTCAGAAAAACTTAGAAATAAATACACAAAAAACTCAAATCCTCACAGTTGTTGAGTGAGATTTTGGCGTGTTTGGGATTATTATCCCCTGGTTACAGCACCGTGTTTGTTTTAAGAATTTGCTGGTGTTAAATTTGATCCTTTCTATTTGTTTGACGATAAATAACTCTCGTGCCACTAGCTGTAACACTACACCAAAACACCCTTGAGTGAAAATAGTTTTTCTCCTAAATGCTGCTGCTTTTTCTCAGCACATTCCTGCCACCATATTTTATCCATTTACCAACTTGATTTTTTTTTATTTATTTATTTTTACAATGAGGTGCAGATGGTTTATAGTTGGATTTTTGAAGGTGGCGCTGTCACTTCGAATACTTTGTGTACTTTCTACTTTAAAGATCTTCAGCAGTGTTAGTGTGGCAGCAGGGGATTTATTTGTCTTAAATTCTTGTTTAAAAAAAAATGGCTGTTGTTTTTCTTAAACTCAATTCTTGGTTGTAAAACAAAAGATGCAGATAACTGAGAAAGTCGTATTCCCAAATGTGAATTTTTGAAATCCTAGTCATTAGGTTACAAAAGTCAGTCAATTACAAGGAAGCCTTCTCAGATCAGAAGTTGAATATTTGTTTGAAGCACTTACTGTAAACATTACTGCGATGATTCCAAAAACATTAATAATCAAGAAGTTGTTTTTTTTGGCAGGGCTTGAATCATGATAGTAAGCATTTGTCAGTCAGCACACTTGAGGGTGTTATTTGAATTTTACATCACTCTGTGATTATGGCCTCAAAGGCGCATAATTTTAGTCTGCTTATTAGCCATTATCAGCACAACCGCATTAAATCAGGAACATGTTGGATGCAGCAAAGACGGAAGCAAGGCTGTAAATCATTTCTCTCTTCAGTGGCGTATATACCGACACATCTGTCACCGTAAGTGACAGGTAGACACGAAACACACAAAGGTGAGAGTCATACAGGGCTTCCAGGATGACGCCGTCGGCTTTGTTTTTTGTCTCCACGGGAAGTCAGATTTTTCCCTCTTAGGTGATTTACTGACAGTCGGGCCAGACTGCTGAGCCACAGAAAGAGAGAAAGAGCTCAGCTAATTCTTCAGAGAGTTCGTTCTCTCACAGCAGGGCTGCTCTTTGTGTCACGTTTCCGGTTGTTAGTTTTATTCCCATAAAAATGACAATCAAGAATCTTTCTTTAAAGTCAAACAAATGTTTCGAGCAGCTTATTGTAAGTTCTACATGTTTGAAAGCTAAAAGAAAAAATCAGTTTCTGCTGTGCTTTGATGTTAGTTTTTTTTTTCCATTTCAGAAATAATGTTTGTTTTTCTCTGTGCCTCTGTGTGTTGTTGTACGGAGGGCTGACAGAAGTCAGGATTGTGCTCTCAGCTTCCAGCTCTTTCACTGCCCAGCTGACATAAAGCTCACAGCGATGCCCTCTGTTCTTTTATTGTCATTTGCAGTTTTACACAAACATCTCTCCTTTCTGCTCTTTTCCCACACAGGCATCAAGAGACAAACAGGAGGCTGAAAAATGTGAGTTGTTTTCTCATAAACCATCTGCCGGTCTGTGATTTGTTAGGTAATTATAAAAAGGTAGAGCTTGATTTATTTCAGGTACGGTGCTGTCAGGGACTGTACCTGAAGTTATGGTTTCTAAAGCATATCACTCCTTGTTCATTTCTACTGTTATATTTGAAAAGTTTTACAAACGATAGAGGGGAACGCAGAATCGCTACTTGTTAATAAATAACTCTGTGGAAAATGCTGACCAATAGAGACAGAGTCTATTAATTAAATGGAGAGCCAAGTAAAACCGAATACTAACGGCAATGATCCTTATAGAGTCAATTACATAAATACAAACAATTACAATAGAATATAGAATTTAAATGCAGTTGTCATTTCCACAACAATAAGATTCAACTGCCTCTAATGACCACTTTACCTCGCCACACAACTCGTACTACAACAATCAGCATAGATTTTTTAAGCTATAACTATAACATGCATGACAAGGGACAGATTGAAATGTAAGTAAATGGTAAACACTGTGTCTTATGGTGCACAGTCTATATAAGAGTAGATAAAACAGGTGTGTGCTTAACAAGCATTTGATTTCTTCTGCTCGCTTTAGGATAAGACATAGTAGCAGTTCTATTTTTACATTTTGCACATTTTGTATTAAATATTGCAACACTTTATGAGGATATTTTTGTTTCACCTGCCTACTTTCCTGTTTGGTAGCTGAAATTTTAGCTCATATGCTCACAGCTGTATTCATTCAAATAGCTGAAAGAACAAAAGGCAAAAGGAAGACATTTAAAAACAGATTTTTATCCACTCTTAGTGGACAAGTTAAGGTAGACGTGGACTGAACAGATTTCTGACCTCCAGTAAAGCTTTGACCTGAAGATAAGTGTTTTAGCTGATTCTCAGTCTCTGTTTATCAGTGTTCAAAGTATTTTTCCTAGACTTCCTGACTCAACGTATGATTGATTATTTGTTTGTAGCAGTGGTGAGCAGTCACTGCAAAATAAAAGTTTTGGTTGTTATTTTGAAAGACGAAAAGCAAAACGATTCAAGAGCCATAAACGACTAGCGTGGTTAGCATTTACCAACTGTAAACAAAAGCGTTTCTGTGTTCTCCCTAAAGAGTGTTGATCCTGATTTCAGCCTTCAACAAATCTGCTAAAAATTTTCAAATCCAACAAACAGCACGACAGACCATGCCTAAAGCTCAAAAGCATAAAAACAATCAACATTGCAGTATTTTGTCCGCGCCAACAAGCTAGCTTTGGTAGGGCTAACTTTGAGAATTATTTCTTCAGTCACAACATCCGCACTGAAGAGCGTGACCTGAAAGGGCTTAACGTTAGTCTTTACTGAAGGGAAAAATATTTTAATACTGACTAAACCGTTACTGCTCAGGCCTGGTCAAGCTGAAACGTTTGGTCACCAGCTAATTTTTTTTTTCTTTTTTTTCTCAGTGCGTCTGCAATTACAAGTTGCCAAAAAGAAAAAAAAAATTGTGAAGCGTTTTATGCATGCTTGCACAAGATATGAATGCTTCTTGTTTACCAAAATCTCTGGTATGCATTTGTGTTCCACAATACAAAAGAAAATCCAAAACAAGAAGAACATTAAAAACAAAATGAAATAAAGTGCAGCATACTAATATGAAAAGACAGCTCAGCAGGAGGTCTGATGGCTGTTATTATCACAGTTTTGCAGTAGGAAATTGAGCATAGCTCTATCTGAAAAAAAAAAAGTAAGAATGTGCATATTTAACAAACTGCAACAATTTCCCAGATCGTATATAAGCACAGAAACAGGACAATAGTGGAAACACTATAAAGATGTTTTATGAATCTGTTTTGATGGATGTTTGTCAAAACGTTTTGAGCTAAGTTTCTAAATGTCCCTATGTCAATTTTGTCTCTGTGTATTTTGAACTTGGGGTTTAACCTTTCATGTCGTTGAGAGCCACATTAATTGTAGGAGGCTGTTGATGTGTACTTATTTGTTGGTGAAATTGTATACTTTGCTGTACGGCTTTATGATGTGCTGTTTTCTAAACGAGCCTAGAAATCAGACCAGAACAATCACCTGCCTTAGCACAGCATAAATCATTCACCACTGAGGGCAAAAGTGCAGCAATTACTTGATAAATATACATCTCTGGAAAAAATTAAGAGACCCCTGCACTGAACCCCATTGAAAACCTCATGGTTATAACACCAAATATTGATTTCTGAACTCTTCCTGAGTTAAAACGTTAGTATTGTTGTTTCTAAATGAATATGAAATTGACCTCATTTTATTTGAGGTCTGAAAGTATTTGACAATTTCTCATTTTCTGCATATAGATACTAAAAGTTTTAACACTAAATGTTCGTTTTACTCAAACATATATATATATATAAAGTAAAATCAGACAAGCTGAACATTTAAAGTGGTCTCTTCATTTTTTTCCAGAGCTGTATATTCTCTGATGGTTATTAAATTTTGCCATTTTTTATTTACTGTCTGTTTTTTTGTTTGTTTGTTTTTTTTGTCTCCAGGTTTTAATCACCATTTACTGGCTGGGTAGAAGAGCTCAGAGTGATCCTTTCTATGATGGACCTTACCTAAATTTCAAGGCCTTCGAGGGATTATTGGGCACCGCACTATACAAGGTGAATTCCTTTTCGAAGGTGTAATTGTACCTCTGGGCTCTATGACCTGTTGAAGGCTTGGCTGTCAGCGTGTATTGAAATCCTCTTTTACAGTCACTGCTCAGTACATTTGTGAATCCTCCCTGGTATGTGGACTATGCGTGAGGACGGCCACAGACGGCTGAGGGAGCCCGCGCTCTGGTGGGCGGCGAAACCAGCATTGCGTTAAGTCATAAGTGACCTGATCCCTTGACTCAGCTATTTTCATCTTGTTTACAACGCGGCACACATAGTTCACATGTTAAAATAGCCACTTCTTTTCCTCAGAGAGGCATTCCGTCCCTCCCGTCCTGCCCGTGCCAGTGTTGAACTTGGCACCTTGTGTTTCGCGTGGATTTATGGCTTGTGTGCGAGCCCTCTGTAATCCACTTCACTCCAGGGATTTTTTGGTAATAGGAGTTGGTCAGGGCACATTTTGTACATTTAGCCACGTTAATCCAAGTTCAGTGGCTCTTGAGGTTTTGGCCAGGTTTTAATTTGTTGACCTCTATTGTCTGGCAGGATTTGGAAGATTACAGATCAGAAAACCGTCTTTCTCTTTAAATCGCCTGACACGCTTTGGCTTGTTCGGTGCCCTCGTGTTTAAAGAGGCTTTTATGTGTTTGTGTGCAGCGACGTTCTCGTCTTGTAGTAAACACAGTCATTAAGGGTGTGGGGATGAAGTTTGTTTTGACAGAGATGGCAGGGAGGAAGAAATGATGATGTTTTTCGATGCAGATTTCGCCATCCGTCACCCATTATAACTCATTGTATGTTTACAGCAACCACGTCAACACAGACTTTAAAATCTACCTGGGAGATCTCGCACACCTCCGCCCCTTTACACACTCAAAGGAGCTAAATATTAGAACTGGCACAGTGTCATCCAGATGCGTTGCTGACTGTGTGCTTAGGCATAAAAAAGGTATTAAGCACCCACGTTATTTCTGCCAGTTTGCATACAATCATTATTGGTTGAAGTACATCTGAGGCTTCTTTATTGTTTGAATATTTCTTTCTTTCCCTGTCTAGTTTGATATTTGACTACTCTTTCTATTTAATGAAGAGTTAATTTCAAGCAGATGGCTTCCTGCCACTCGCCCGGCTATTAAACAGGGCACGTTAGTTTTCAGGGCCTTTAGGTTAGCGCTTTGGAAAGAGACAGTCAATGTCAGCCTGATTTAGTCATTTGAGCCAGTTTAAATGTCGGTTTGCGGTCGTTTGTGTCACTGAGTTCGCACAGATCAATCTTTGTCTTCTCTGGCCATGAACCCTTTGTCCATGAGGGCAGCTTCCAATTTTAGTTAAGTTGGAACGTGTTGATTTTAATAGCAGTGGCTTCTTTCTCACTCGGTACCCTTTCGGTCAACGGGAAAACTTAACGTTAGTCCACTTTATCTGTTCCCACAACATTTTTGATGCATGTTTGGTGCCATAGTCCTATTTGAAGTCCACATTGGTACCAAGTTTTTGTTGTCTGGTTGATTTGAATTGAGGTTGAAGATTTCAGAGGTCTTTGCATGATGCTATGACCACCACACTTGACAGCTAACCCTAACCCTAGGCCAAAGGCCAAGTAGCTAAATTTGTCTCGTTTACCTGCAAAACTCCACAAAACACTTAGCTCGTCTGAACAGGAAGCTCTTGAAATGGTTCAAAATTTAAAGCAGATGAAATGGGGTTCACAACGGACAGTAACAGAGAAGCTAAATATTTTAACTGGCACCCTATTATATCATCAAATGTGTGACCGACTGTGTGTGTTTGTGTGTGCATGAAAGGCTCTGCAGGAATCAAACAGCCAGAAGGGCTCCAGCGTTCGAGACAGCGGTTTTGGAGACAGTTGGTACTCTGAGCGAGAGGAGATCTATTCCCTGAGAGGAGGTGGAGGCGGAAGAGGCGGACACAGGAGGGACGACTCGTTGGACAGTTTGGACTCGCTGGGCTCGAGACCCCACAGCATCTCATCCGACGCCACTCTCAAAGGCAGCAGCGAGGGTACAGTAGACGATTCAAGCCGCTTTCCCTTGCCTTTGTGTCGTTCGTCCGCTAAATTGCCTGGGTTTTGCTTTTCAAATCTGTGTTTTACTCTAAATAGTAGTGAGTCACTGAGTCTCTAGATCCATACCTCTCAAACTGTGGTCCGAATACCACTTGCGGTACTCTGACTGTGAACTATTTATAAGTTAATTAGTAATAACGTAGAGTGAATACACCCCAAACGGACAAAAATATGCTGTGACCACAGTGCTTTTTGCACTTTGATCTTTGTTTCAAGAAAGCAGTACTCACAGAGGAAGTGCAGTTGAGAATATTTAAAAATAAAAACTCTGAGAAAATGAACCACAAACAAGTGCTGGGGTCTATTTTCCTCTGGATGAAACCAGTAATAGTTACTGTTGTTCTCATTGACTGTTCATTGGCTTCTGCAGCCCTTTGAACTGCCTTGTTGTTGAAATTGTGCTATGTGAATAAAATTACCTTGTCTTTCCTTACTGTTCACAATAGGCTGCAGTCCGATGGCAATGCATCCTTCAGCAATGTCTCCATTCAAGCACTAAAGAAAAATTTTGGGAATAGAGGTTTTTTGTTTTTTGTTTTGCTTGTTTTGCTACCAGACGTAAAAACAGAAAGTTTCTAACTGCAGCTTCAGCAATTATCGGCCATGTTGGATTTTTAGGTTAAATTGGTTTACCTCTTACCAAACTCTGTCTTTGACTGTTTAGATTTTCAATTCAGAGGGCATTTCTGTCTTGTTTCTTTGTTTGTGTTTGCTTGCTTCACTCTTCCTTTCTTACTCTTTTTCTCTCTTTCTCTCGTTTTTTGTTTTTTTTTTCTCTCTGTCTTTCTTGCTGCGGGTCTTGTACTGTTTTAAAAGGTTTGGATTAGGTGGAACTTGGAACACCTAACATTTCGTGAGGTAATATTTATTTTCTTAAAAGCTAAAGAACCGCTGGTCTAGACCTTCTTATCTTGTTTGTTTGCCTCAATATTTCAAATCCATTTCATCCATCTGGACGTTCAAATATTTGTGAACTGGGAAGACCCGCCGTCTTGGAAAGCTGACTTCCATTTGTGAAAACAAACGTCTATTGCCATCTAGTGGTAGGCTTGTGGAAGTTCTTTTTTTTTTGTAGAATATCAAAGTACAAAACTTTGACACACTGATGTAAAACGGATTCTCTGGTAATGGACGTTTGTGCAACCCAGCAGTTCTTTTGTGTAACTGGGAGCAGTGAGACATTCCACAGCCTTCCACAGCAGCTTGTAAATGAAGAGGCCTCTGTTCCCCACCCTGCACCCCTCAGTTACTCCTACAAAGTCACTCCAAAACACACACACACACACAAACCTCACTCTTTTCTACATCCTGGCTTTGTTTGTCTTCTTCTCTTTTCCCTCCTTCTGTTTCGCACCGGTTCTTGATCCTGTCCTGGTTCTCTGTCCAGGTTGTTGCAGCGACACCGAGGCAGACTCCATCTTCAGGATGGCTGACAACAAGAACAGCCTCAGCTACCGCAGGTCACTAGTCATCACGCCTAAAGCCAGCGCCCAGTTTAACCAGTTCCTGCCCACTAAGGACAAGCAGTCGGGCTACGTGCCGGCTCCGCTGAGGAAGAAACGGGCTGAGCGAAACGAGGACAGCCGGCGTAGCTGGGCCAGCTCCAGCTACGAAGAAGATGAAGCCACGCTCACCAGGTACATCGTTTTTTTCCACTTAAAGGTGCTGTTCCTTATTTAGTTCATGTTGGTGAAATATTTGGCTTGTTTAGTTGCCAAAAGTTCACAAAAGTGTGAGCATGGTTGCTTGTGTTTTTAATTTGTATGCTGTGGGATGACGATCTTAGTCAAGAAGGGATTTCCGCTCCTGGCTATGGCGGCAGCCATGTCACCCAGAGCGCCTTACCATCATCAGCTCAACCCCGCTGGGAATATGGTTCAGGGAGCGGAAGCGACTCGGACCCAGACCGACCCGACCCCGATCTCGTCCTGGACGATCTGGCAAGCAGACGATTCCACAGTCCCTCCCCTGCTCCTCCCACCAACTTTGCCGTGCCCGTCAGCCCCTCAGCAAGGGGACGGGGGGTTTGGGGTAAAGGCGGCCCCTGGCCCAAGGTCACTGTTTCCCCCACTCAGCCATACGTGACCTGCGACAGGTCAGAGAACATGAAGATGCAGTGTGGATGTGCCTGTGTGATGAGAGATAAAAACCCAATGCTCATCTTCCTCTCAGTTCGCATGGTTTATTGCAGCCATGAGCAACAAAGTATTCTGCCTCTAACACAGCTTCAAACACTTCCGTTTGATGGAGTTTTTGGGGAGAGTGATTTACAGATTCAAGCTGCAGTAAAACCATGTTTGTTCTTTCTTAAAAAAAAAAATGTGGGCTTTGAGTTGGAATTTGATTTTTTTTTTTTTGTGGCATAGGACCTAAAATTGGCTTCTCAGTTTGCCTTGAGTTTGCTTGGGTTTCCTAATCCTTACATCATTTGGTTTGAGGCTGCTGTGCTTTTTTTTTTTTTTTTTTTTTTTTTTTTTTTTTTTTGCGTGGCTTTTGTGAGCTTGGTTCCTGCAACGAGTGATTTTTAATTTGGCACTTGTGGTTGGCTGTCTCCTTTGAGCAGCAGAAGCAGGAAAACGCAGTCCCTCGACCGCAGCCGCGTGAGGGTGGACCACCGGCGGGGCGTGTGCTCCGACAGCCTGTTCAGGTACACGTGCGATGATTCTGAAGAGGATGATGATGATGAGGTGGGCTATGCCGATCCTGTCCAGGATGATCTCTATGCCCGTAAGATAGGCGCCAAACCGCAGCGGGCGAGCAGCGTGTCTTATAACAAGTTCTTACCAAAGTTCTGGACGCCCGAAGAAGACGTTCATGTACAGAAGATCAAACTGGGCTCTCAGAGGAGGCCCTGGTACAAGGAGATGCAAGGCTTCAGGTGTGTGAGAGGGGGTGTGACGGTGTGTGTCGCATTACTGGGGACCAAAATGCAACAGGGGATCGTAACATTTTAGCTACACCTCGGCTTACCCAACGCTTTGCAAGAGCATTCATACTTCTTGAACTTTTTCCACATTTTGCCTGTATGACCGTAAACATTTAGTGTATATTAAAATAAAGATTGTGTGGTTGGGTTTACATTTGGCCCACTTTATTCTGATACACCTGAATAAAATCTAATTAAACCACCTAATCAGTACACAGCAGGGGTGTCATAACCAAACTGCGGGAAGAGTTGGTAGTGATAGAATGTGAAAACGGATAAAAACTGTTTTTGAAATAATATTTAAGTACACAACTGTTATCTTGAAGGCTCTAAAGTCCAGAAGGCCACATGAAAACTTATGGTGGACCTGATTTGGCCCGCAGTCCTTGAGTTTGACACATATACCATTGAGTATGGTGCAGCGAACACGAAAACCCGGAGTGCCGCATCTGTATTCCTCCCCTTGTTGCACCCAATCTCCTCCTAACTCCAGCACCATCTCCACAGTGAAACATGGTGGTGGCAATATCATGCTGTGGGAATACTTTTCCGGTCAGAGTCGGCGTGACAAAAAGTGACAAAGTTCAAGGGGTATGACGACTTTAGCGAGGTGTAAGTCACATTGCTGTTTGTTTTCTTCTTGCTCAGTTTCCTTTAACTAACTGCATGCTAATATAAAAAATATTTTTAATTTATTTAACAGCGCATTTCTTTGCAGTACGACTTCCCGAACTCCTATGAGTCCTGCTTTTATCCTGCGATCGATCGCACGCCCTCTGCTCTGTTCTAACCTCCTCTGTCCCTCTCTCTTCCTGCTCTTCTTGGCTGTAGCCGTCAGCGGTCCGGCTCTTCGTCCGACGACTCAGAGGGCGGCATTGGTCCTTGGTTCTCCTCCGCTCCCCCTTCTTCTGCAACCTCCCCCTCTCGCTCCCACAAACACGAGACCCCGGCTCAAACCACCCTTGTTGTTGGGAAAAGGTCGATACAGCTGCACGACGGTGACGATGCGAGTTCGCTTTAAAGCATCGCATTTTAAATGAACACTACTCCATATGGGGCTGAACTGATTTAAGCTGCTTTCTAATCGACTAATAAAGTAGTTGATCCGCTGGGGTTGCCTTAACGAGCTCTAACAAGGAGTTGCTACCCCTTTTTTTGGAAATAAGCTGTATTTAAATTTATTACAGCTTCTACCCAGTTTTGCAGTCAACTTGCATTGATATTATTTCGCAGCTGTGTGCATTTACGAGTAACAACCTCATTTTATCAGCATCTGTTTGAATCAAATGTCCCCTTTCCACCTTTTCTTGCACCTCGATCCAGGTCCTATGCATGCGCTCATCATCTCTCTATCCTTTTCTCTCCTTCTGCTCACCCTGCAGTACTCATGTCCAAGCACACCCTCCCCCACAGCTCCCCAAGATAGAGCCCCCTCTTTTAGAGATCCCTCCTCTGGTGTTTGCCCCCGTGGACCCCGCCTCAGGTCCCAGACTGGTCAAAGGTGAGAAGTGGCCTCTTCTGGGGCGCGAAGACCCCAGAGAGCCACCGGACCCCATTGACTATGAAAGCATTGACCCGGACTTGGAGAACGATGACATGTTCGCCAGGCGGACCCTGTCGTTTCAGTCCAACGCAGACCTGGCCGCGTTCAAGACTCGGCTCCCCGCCAAGCGCAGACTCCACTCGTCTGAGCCGCAGCTCAATATCGTCACACGGCAACACCTTCGCGGAGACGCAGAGGGAGACGATTTTCCAGACATTGAGCGGGACGATGTCGTTTATCGCAGGGAGAAAACCCAGAGGCAGCGAGCGCTTTCGGGGGCCCCAGACAACTACGCCCCCATGCACGTCCCGGAGCCCTGGGCCCTCCCTGCTGATCTCAAAGCCAGACTCCTCTGCGCCCCCTGCCCTCTGACTCGGGAAGCGGCCGCGGCTGAGCAGGATCAAGCTAAGAATGAGCTCCAGCCAGAAAAGGATGACATGCTGGTTCGGAAGCTGCGAGATTGTTCCGATCAGAGTCAGCAGAAAGGCCCGTTGGCCGGTCGCACAACTCCCTCCGTGCCTTCCTCCTGTAGCAAAGGCGACCTGCAGAGGTGGCAGGCAATCAGGGAAGCCTCTCAGCTAAGATACAAGAGGAAGCTTTTATTGGAGAGACTAGTGGCTCTGAAGGTGTAGAAGCAGATGGATGTGAAACTTCTGATCCGTGTACCATTTACCGCCCCTGTGTCGGATGACACACGAGTCCTGATGGATGTGGAGACGGTCGGAGGTTGAACTTTTGTCCAGTCACGCTCTTGTTTAGAATGAAACGCTGCTTCTTCTTCTTTCTTTTTTTTCACTGGGTCACTTTAAAACATGTTGCTGTAAGCCACATAGAAGGAGATATACTGACATTTGCTGTATAAAAAGTCTATTTAGTTCTTGACATGTTCTGGTATCACGTTGTCACTGTTTGGTGGCTTTGAGTGAAAATACAGTCTGATGGCATTTACACGAGAAGGTTGAAACGAAAAGACAAAATAATCTAATTGGTTAAATTGCCCCATATTATTGATGTTGTAATTGCTATTGGGTATAATGCAATAATACGCTTTCTGCGTTTTTCTTTTGACACATTGACATAAGCAAAAAATACAGTACTAAATACCAGCTACATTTAGCTAATTTTTTTCAAGTTAATAATAATTTGTGCTTATTGCCCAGAATAGTGTGTGTGTTTGTCGTTTGGCTCCTTATAGAGTAGCAGGAATGGATCTGACTTGCATCAGCTGTGTAATTAGTTTGGCAATCAACTCATAGGCAATAATGCAGTATTTTTCCAATAATGTAAGAAAGTTTTAGGTCCTTCAGGATAATTACATTTTGTCAATAATTAAGTTGATTAAGTTATTACTTTATTGTTGTAGCTCCAAGAAACAGTGCTTTTTATGCATTGTACGACTGTCCACTGCAGTGATCACGTTTAAAATGAGTTTTTAATTCTGAACCAAGGAGGTAATAACTTTTTGTTTTGTTACTGGCAATATAGCAGTTTATTATTGGATATTAAAAACTTTATTACATTATTGAAAAGGTATTTGTGTGACTAGCTTTATTATATTTGGAATGGCAAAAATGATCACTGTTTTTTGCTGTTATTTTGTTTTTGACAGTGAGCTGCTCATAGCTTACCTGTAGTTTTAAAATATCTTAAGAGACTGACTTTGTGGCTTTTTGGGGCAGAAAATATTTACACTGACACAGATGTCTTGTAAATATTTCAGCCAGCTGACCAGCAGTGTGGAGTAATGGCATCTTGTTAAAAGGGTTTTAAACCAAAGCAATGATAATGATGGAATATTTTTTAAAACATTTGTCTTCCTTGCCCATGAGTAGTTTCAATTGTGTTTCCTCTTATATTGAGAATTAATATTTTATTTTTCTGAAAATGGTTGCGGTTCAGAGGTGCATGTTGTTTACCTTCAGCGTGAACTCCCCGGTTGTGCAGCAAACTTACTGCTCTTGCGTGTGTGGGTGTGGTTCATGAACAAAACCCCCCAAAACTTCTCCTTGACAGGAAAGGATTTCATGACAAAAAACTGGTCCCATACATTTTCATCTTTAGTTTGTTTTCTTGAAAGTCTGAATTTGCCTGTAAATTGTAAATCCATATATTTCTGCTCAATAAAATAAAAGAAACAACTTCATGACTTTGCTTTGGAACCAGTTGAATAACTCCCCGAGCCGTGAATCTGACCCCGAGTTCAGCTGAAAAGAGCATCACGCCAACATGTGAAACTCGAAGCGCAGCAGCAAGACAAGGCAGATGCAAACTACAGCAGCCCAGACTGCAACAAGTCAGGCAGTTTAATGTGCGCCAACAGGGGGTAAAGAAATCCCCCACCTCTCTGAAAGTACATGCGACGTGTGCGCAGAACTCAAAGTTTTCACCACAGGCTGGGGGTACAATGCAACCATTTAATCTGAGTCAAGCTCATCTGGATTTACTTCGCTGCCATGTGTGAAGTTACGCTTGCATCATGGAGTCTGTGGACAGGATGTGTTGCTTAGAGGGAAATCCAAACACATCTCTATTAAGTAAGAAGCTCCATACAGTAGAGTCAGTTTTGGTTCTTGTATGAATGGAGCTTAGGAAGCTTTCTCCACTCCACTAAAGCCTTTTAAAATGCAGGAAATTATCTGAGATTATGGGGTGTGATTAAATATTCCATAGAGTTTTGCACAAAGCACACTGGCAAGCCTGTTTTTTTTGTTTTGTTTTGTTTTGTTTTGTTTTTTTCTCAGTGGAATGAGGGTTCACCTACGTAACATACAGAAGAAGCAATCCATTGCAATAGAAAACTTTCATAGGGCAGACTTGACAGATAAGTAATATTTTTTTACTTGGTGTTCCCATGCCTCCCTTTTTTTAATGCTTCCCTGGACAACTGCCCATATAATTCATACTGTCAAGTCAGCTATTTCACTCTTTATCTTCTGCAGGCAGGCAGCTGCAAATTTTAGACTTTGGCAAGCGGAGTCATGTTTGTGTTTGGTTTAAATACAAATGAGTTTTAATAAGAGTCTCCACCTGGCCTCCAGCTCTTAACCGGAGTACTGTCAGTCTCACTGTGGGGGGAAAAAAGAAAAAACAGCCTACAGAAATGTGACTTTTGTTGTCTATGATTCTCTCCGGTTCCCCCAGACAGCAGCAAACGCAGGAAAGTTCTGATGGGTGAGTTGACGCGGGCGCCCAGAAATGTGGCATGTTTTGGATTTGCTCGGACCTCTGTCCAGTCGCACCCTGCCTCTTGATCTGCTGTTCTCACTGTTGTTTGCTGCTAACTTTTGACATGCAATATTAAACACAGGGGCGAGTCCAGGGTGGGAGGGTTGGGATTAAGGGCTGCAGAAAGCTCTTTCTTAAAATTACATAAAAAAAAAAAATATATATATATATATATATATATATATATATATATATATATATGAAAACTGCAGTGTGACCGTTATGACTGGTTAGAGGTCTGAAATCTTTGTGTGACATCTTTAAAGGGAGTTTTCTTTTGTCAACTGTGACCCTTTGGAGACTTTTGTTGCATGACGGTGGGGATGGCAGTCGTAAATTTTATTAACTTACTAATTTTTTATAACCTTTTTTTTTTTTTTGTTTCCTGGCTGGTCTTTGTGGTGTGGATACTAACTCCGTAACATGAAAGTCTAACATGATTTCCAGTATTTGCAGATATGGCGGTATGGTAAGAGACGATGCATGCGTAAAATGTTTTTAGTTGAAACTTATGAAGTATGTTTTGTTTTTTTTTGGGGTTTTTTTTGTTTGAAGATTTAACAATTCAAAGAAGGTGACTCTTTTTTTTCTACTATTTTCTCCACTTTTATCGTCCCTCAGGAGCAAATCAACAAGCGACATCCAGGTGGACCCGTCAATCATCCGGCAGAATCGCTTGGAGGAGCTTCAGAAGTACCGAGAACAGATTAAAGAGAGCGAGGATAAGTGGCAGGATGTGAGTATGTTTGATATGGGCACTGGATTTTACTTAGGATTATCCAAGTGAACGGGGTTTAAAACTGAAGTACAGTGAACTTCAGATTTTTTTTTATTATTATTATTTTCTTTAAATCATTTTCCTCCCATTTCCCTAACTCAATAAAATACACTGAAGCTGGTAATTATAATGTGACAGAATGTGAAAAGGGCACTGTCTAGCACACGCCTGCGGCCATCTTTCCCATAAGTTTTCTGCATAATCAAGGCAGACAGGAAAGATGTTTGCTTCTGGCAGAGATAACGTTGAAGTGAAAGACGAGCGCATGATCTGTGAGATTAGACTCGCAGCTGCCGGCTGAAATCAGAGCCGTTTGGATTGAAGTCAAAGAGGCAGGAACTGGTTGGTGCGGTGCTGCCCTCTGGCTATTCACTGTTCTCATCGGCAAATGTCCCTGCTGGCAAGAACAACCCCAACAACAGATTCAATATGAAATATTGCTATGATGTAATAACGATGGGGAAGTTACAGAAAATTACTTCATTTTAATAAAAGAACAGCGTTTTCTTGAAATTGATGACAATTATGTACCTGTTTTGTCACTTACTTAATGAGTAATAAAACACCTATTACGTGACAGATGTCTTTATGTTCTCTCTGTTGTACCTGCCTGCTGTCTGATTGATGTCACTGCGAAGTAATGGAGTCCTGAAGCTACATTTAGGTCACACAGTCCCCAAACCACAGGGGAAGCGAGTCGGGAGGAGCTTCAGGCTCACAAATAGAACACCTTCAAATGGAGCCCTGTTTCTTTTTTTTTTCCTGTTTCTCTCTTCTTTTTTTTTTTCTTCCCCAACTTCTCCATCACACCCCCTAGCTGTCCACGACAGTCTGTCGCTTTAATCCAAACCTCGAGCTTCGATGTGTTAAAGATGCGGCGCATTAGGTGAACTTGGATATCTTTTCTCCGCAGGACTTGAGCAAATGGAAAAACCGGCGCCGGAGCGTGAACTCTGACATAGTGAAGAAGAAGGAGGAGCGGGAAAAGATAGAGCAGATCACGTATGGCAGAGACGGCAGGTCCAAGTCCTTCAAGGAGATCCAAGACGAGAGGTGAGCAAAAAAAGGGGGAGGGGGGGAGGGAAGCACACCTGATCAGTGTAGAGCATCAGGGTGGTTGTGGTGCTTAATGAGTTTGTTCTTCTTTTGCACCTTTTTACCCTCAGAGGAGGGATGCTTTACTAAGGTAATAAAGGGTAAAAATGTTATTCTGTGTTGTTGTAGAGAAACTGCACGGTTGTCTTCAGTGTGTAAATAAGAATCAGTTTATTATGCCTCATCTCTTTGCATCATACCCACCGCCTCACCTTTAATGTTGCACATTGCCCCCCTTCCCACTCCCTACCCTCACCTTTCTCCTCCTCCCTTCCACCCGCAGAGAAACTAAAAAAAAGCACAGCATCGGCAGCCGCCTGTCGTCTCTCTCCTACTTGGATGACGACGACGACAACTTATTTGAGAAACCCGTGATTCGCGCGCCGACCCGATCGCTCCCACCCAGAAGCTACACCATCGATGCTCCCTCGTATTCCCCAGAACCCTCCAAGCCCTCTCCGAAAGCCGAGGACCCCCCGGTTGCTTCCCCACGCACTCGCAGACAGCCTTCGCCTCCCACTCCGCAGGAAACCGTGGATGGTCCTGCAGCCAGAAACTCCATCACCACCACCACCACCACCACCACCACCAGCAACCAGTCTCCAGCAGCTGCATCCTATCAGAAGAGTCCAGCGGAGGAACGCGAGGCCATAAAATACACAGAGAAGACTACGAGGGACGTAGCCCCCCGCTCCTCCTTCGCCTCCACCCAGAAGGAGCTCGAGCCAAGGTCCTCATTGTTGGGAGCGCCGACTGGGGTGGAGGCCCCCTCCTCCAGCTCTCCGGACAGACAACCACAGTCGAGCTCGATGGAACCCAAGCCTCCCGCCGTGTCTCGGGTTTCCGCCTCCCTCCCCAGGAGCTACCAGAGATCGGATAGCGCGCGGCTAACCTCGGTCGTCACTCCGAGGCCCTTTGGGACCCAGCCGTCCCGCATCTCCTCTCTTTCTAGAGCCCACACGGTAAGTGCAGCAAACCGTGTACCAGGCACACAGAGGTGCGTCTCAGTAAATGAGTACTGCGCCGAGTAGATTACCTGTTATGTAGATTCATTACACAAAGAGGGTTTAGTTCTGCTCATTTTGATGAGTCTGGCTTACAACTAATGAGGACACAAAATTGAGTTTCTCTGACAAATGTTCTTTTGCGTGTGAAAATAGGTTTTGGAAAAAGACGAATGTTTATAGTCATGCTGAGAGTAATTAATGAAAAGTTGAGTGGAAGAAAACAGCCTTGTGGTAATAGAAGTACAAGCAGCAGAGATAATAAAACAGCAAAACGTGCTCAGGGTACGCTAGGAAGGTGTAGGAGGCCGGACTCAACAACGTGGATGAGGTGAAGACGGTTATTAGAGCAACCTGTGATTCCTTCCCGCCTCAGCCATCGTAGCTCTGGCTTTAGCTCTAGCTATCTTCAACTTCGATCATCTAGAGCTACTGATCAGCTCTTTATGTGTTAATCCTCGACAGACGGACGAATCCCACAAGGGTGTCAACGGCAACGTCGATGTTTCTAAGAAGGCATCTGTGCCGAGCCGGTATCATCAGTACATGACCTCAGAGGACGAGGCTCAGTCCAGTTCTGCACACAGCAGCGATGACGAGGAAGAGGAAGAGGAAGAGGAAGAGGAGAGCGCCGCAGCGAAGGGCCTGTCCTCGACTCAGAGCATCAGGTCTCTCCCGTCTCCTGTCAAGAGTGACGTCTCAGTCAGTCCTGCTCCTGGCAAAGAAACCAGCAAGGAACTGGGATTTCTTCTTCAGACTGAAGGTGTTAACAAAGATGTATTTTTATTTTGTTTGTTTTTTTTTAAAAATTCAATGAAACTAAATTCAGTTTATCTTCAGTTTGTTTGCTGACTAAAATGGAGCAACAAACGATTATGTCAGAAGCTTTTCTGGCCAAATAAAAAAAAAAAGTATAGACATGATCTGAAAGTTAGTCCATATTCTTATTAATCACCTGCTGTTGTGTGATTTCCAGGAGGATTTCTGTGAGATGCGAATCAGCCTGAACCAGAAACCCAACAGCAGCCGAGACTTTGGCTTCCAGGCTGCCTGGGACTCGACGGGAGCTCGGGTCACGTCCATCCAGCCAGGTGACCCAACACAGCTGAGCTCGAACCCGAACCTTTCACATGAAAAGTCACCCATGCAGTGTTTGCATGTTATTCACAGTAACACGTGGTAATACCGAACGAACACTGGTGCTTTGGCTCCGTTTCATCTCACCTTTTAAGCGCTGCCTGTTAGCCGTTAGCAGGTTTTCGAGTCCACTGCAGTTGTGATGCCAGAACCTTATGTAGGGCAGCGTCTATATGGGTCAGATCTGCTGGGTCTGAGCCTCTCTTTTCTGCTGCAGCTCCCCACCAGCGCATGAACAGTAGGACGTGTATTTTAAGCTATACTGACATCTCGCATCAATTCATGAAGCCTGCCCCAAACTTTTCTTTATACAAACTTAATTCTGTTTATGCAGCTTTTTTAAGTTTTCACCTACATTATCTTGTTGTTGTTGTTGTTGTTGTTATTTTTTTCTGTTTAAAAGAATCACCTTTAGCGACGTACATGAGTTTGTTGCTGTTTGTTTGAAAGAAAAGAAAAGGCCTAATAACAGTAACAGACCTACATTTTTCCAGTTGGGCGGAAAAATGTCCGTGTTAGGAAATACTTGCTTTTACCAAAATTATTGTTCTGTTTTCGTCGGTTACATTTCTCTCAGTCATTTTTCAAAAACGGAAAAACAACATCCCATTTTGGTCATGACAACTCAGTCTGTCGCTAAACAGACAAATGTTTTAAAAATTTGAAACAACTGGGTAGGAGTTTATGTTGCCGCCACGCACGATGAAGACAGTTCTCGTAGTTGAAGATGCTTCTTTTGTTTACTGATGTTTGAAGCCCTAGACCAGAAGAACTGGAAAAGCTGGGACTGCTCTGATGTCGGTTCTAAAAACGTTCCTTCTTCTAATAAGCCCGTTCTCCCTGTAACTTTCAGGTAGCTCGGCCGAGATGTGCCAGCTGCAGGACGGGGACGAAGTGCTGACGGTGAACGGGCTCCAGGTGGCACAAATGAGTTACGAGCAGTGGAAGTCCAGCTTGGAGGAGGCCCTGCAGAAGGGCAGCCTGGTCATGGATGTGCGCCGTCACGGCCAGCACAGTGAGTCATCTCCACCGTATGCATGTGTGCGTGTGTGTGCGTGTGTGTGTGTGTGTGTGTTTGTTTGTTTGACTGCTGTGAGAGCAAAGAGACTGAACACGAAGGAAAGGTTCAAGGGTTACTCTCCTGCACTGACAATGCTGCTTAATCTCTGGGCGTCGCTAAACAGTTTTGACACTTTAAATTGGTCTGTAAACTATTGTGAAGTCACCCATGAATGATATCATGACAGCTAAATGGCGAAGGACCTGTTGAGGGAGGGCTGGGTGTGTTCTCACCTCTGTGGTATATTTTCTCCCCCCTTCCCTCCCTTTTTTTTTAATTGGCTGGTTAAAAATGTTCATGTTCCATCTTTTGTTTCCTGGTCATTGTTCTTTTTGCTGTCCTTTTTTTTTAGTATCTATAAAACATTTCCCTTTGGAGAGTTAACCCTGTACTGTTTGTCTTTGCAGTCTTTCACTTATATCAGTGTCACCTCAGAACAGAACTAAACTACGCAGTCACTGAAACTAACATAAACGACTTGTCGAATAGTTTAGCAAAGCCAATTTATCTAGTAAAAGCCTATTAATAAATCAGTTTGAGTTCATGACCTCTTTGGGCTGCATGGCTGGGGAAGGTGGTTTCTCTGTCGCCCCCTGCTGTTCTCTACAATAACACCATAACGGCACCTCTTGGTCCTCTGCTTTATAGTGGTGGTGTGTGTGTGTGTACATTCTGCCTCCGGATGTCGGGGTTCACATTGACAGAGTCACGGACTCACATACACTTACATGCACAGATCTTGGGTTTATCTTCAAGCACACCATCTATTTTTTTTTTTTTTTTGCCATTGCATTTACTACATGCAGACTGGGACAGAGATCAACCTTCCCTGCCATTTAAAAGCCATAAGACCATCAATCTGACCAGTACGGATCATCCGATACTTCTAGGTCCTCCTGAGACAAAGACCGCCAACTCCAGCCTGGATTTCACTTCCCGTACCGTCACAGAATCGGTGCTGGCTAAAGAGGCCCCCACTCTAGTGGTAAGTGTTGATATCCACTCGTTTGATGTGAATTTAAGCCGTTTTTATTCCAGTGTTATCTACGAATGCAGTGACCACAGTTTTGCTGCCAGTCTTCAATCTGGCAATTTGGCCAGTGCTAGCTTTAGCTGCAACCGATTTCTCTGTCATTACTATAATTAACCAAATTTTTAACATTTTCTCATGGTCAGGGTAGATGTCACATGACTGCAGACATAAATAAAGACAAAGTGAAATCGGTTTACATTTTAAGTTGTCTTTAGCATAAGAGTTAGCATTACTAACTATCAAATCTAGTCTCTGTGTGCATAGATTGCCAGTTTCCATATCCAGCATGTTTTGTTACAGAAGGCAAAAGCCTGAGAGGCTAAAACAAAGCAACTGTGATAATCTATTAAGTCTTATTGTTATCCGCTGAAATGCTTGCTCTCTCTGACTCTCTTGTAACCTAAATTTTGCCTCAATATGTTTTTTTTTAAATAACTTCTTACATTTCTGTCCTCACTGATTCTGAAAATGGCCAACAATGACCAATTTGTTAACACTTAGCTATGATGCGTTCAATGAATCGAAAGAAATATGATTTTTGAATTTCCAGCCAGCTGGTCACCTATCAGGATCAGTGGACCTGAAACTTGCTTAGCGTTTTCTGTGTTTTTCTGTTTTTTTCCTTCATTAAGTGACGCTTTAATGACCTTAAGCCTTTCCCTGCAGGATGTGGCTTCAAACAGAGTTAATGGGGACTTCCAAGACCAACCAGTGACCATGAGGAACAAAGGTAAAGAGCTGTGCTAAAAGTTGGAAAGGTTATGGAACTGATCTCTGAGATTATTTCTGACCATAGCAAAGACGTGGAAAATAAACAAACCTTAAACAGAGATGTCATTTATGACTGTGTGCTGGAAATAGAACGGACAAATTTGTTGGTAAACCTTGTAAAGATATGAAAAAAGCCTTTAAATAGGTTCACTTTTTCCACAAAGTCCTTCTACAAAAAGGTAGGAAAATGCTACCTTTAATTTGTGTGCTTTTATTCAGAGGGAAATAATCCCATTTTGATTAATAATTGTTTTTAACAAGGTTGCACAGTTATTGATGGCCTGGAATGTTAATTTTTTATGAATGTCCCTGTTGCCAGTTGCACAGTGCTGAGTTTTCAATAAGAAGGAGCTGACTGACAGACCTTTGACCCTTCCTGTTTACCCAGGCTTTCTTTCTAGACCATTTTAGAGTCTTGGGTCCTTTCTTAATGGATAAGATAAAAGGATTAGGACTGAGTCAGGTTTGATTTGGCCCTGTCATTCGGGTTGTTGTCCTGTAGAAAGACACGTTAGGAGTAAAGCTTCACTTTTCCAGCAGAAAACACCAAATTTTTTGCGTTCCCAGTGTTTGTCATCCTTTGAAACAGAAATAGGTGCACAGCATCATTTTATTTATGTTTCAATCTTAATTTCATTCCTTTTTAGGTGGCAATAATTGTGCTATCTGTAACTTTTTTTTAAATGCAGTTTGTTCAATTTTTCCCCCACTGAATGAACACACCCAAACCAAAGGTTGAGTGTCTCCAGATTATTCAGTATGAAATTACCCTTTACATAGAGTACCAACAAATCTATGTCCATCTGTAAGTGCACTCTTCTCAGGTTAAACTAATTTCTCTCTTCTGTGTCTCACTTAACCCTGTTTTCCGTTTCTCACATAGAGTCAGAACCAATATCTTTGAAAAACTTAAAACGGAGATCAGAGTTTTTTGAACAAGGTAAAAGTCAAAGAGAAGAAGCGACTGAAAGGGATGAATGTGGTTCCTAATGCTGACTCTGACTTCTCTGCGTATCCAGATGGCCGATCTCTCTGTGCTTTTTATCTGTCTGAATTCCAAGTCGGAGCTGCATGTCTTCTTGTCCGTCTCAGACTTTCTTTCTGTTTATAAAAATGGGACCCTGTTCCCAAGGTTCCTTTTTTTTTTTTTTTTTTTTTTTTTTTTCCCTTTTTCTTGTCTGGTGTCAAAGCTTAACCCTTGTGCTGTGCCCCTTCCCTCCCTCAGGTGGCTCAGGGCCCAGTGTCAGTGCGCTGGTCTTCCTCTGTGGTAAACAGGGTTCATTGTGTGCAGTTGAAGTCCTCACCCTTGATCGGTACAACTTGGGATTTTGACATGAAACCTGAACAGCTTAATAATATTCTTGTCCAACTTGACGCCCTCTAAAAAATAATTAAAAAAAAAAATGAACGTAAGCTACATTTTGACGCAGTGCGTGCTGGTCCTAAAGCTCTGCAGCATGTCAGCATCCCAACATGCCAACCACAAAAGCACATCCCTTGAATCCTGTTGCATTTGTGGAATTGCACAGATTAGCGCATTGCTCCACTCTTCATGGAGTTTTAGGTATTCCTGACATGCACGTACCGAAGAGTCTGTCTGCCTTTCAGGCTGCCTGTCTGCTGCTGCTCCTCCTGTTGCTGCTGCTGTTGCTGCTGCTGCATGCATATCGCTGATTAAAGCTTCTTTGATCATGTTTATTGATTTTCCTCTCAGAAATACTGAGGTGCAAATGTCAATAAGTTTGTGATCTGCCACGAAGAGACCAGATGAATCCTAATAAGTGGAAATTGACCTGTGGTTCCCTGAGGCTTGGTGAAAACATTAATGACAGTTTTGCTTTGAGTTTTCATTTTTAAAACACACATCAACACTTTTTTTAAAATTGAACTGGAACGCTAACGAGCCATTTTGCCTGGACGTATTCTCGGGCCTCAGGGTTAACTTGTCTGTTTACATGTGCTGCTGCGTCGCTCCGCCCGAGCATGCCTCTCGTACTGACTCAGTGTTATTTCGTTCCCAGGAGGATCGGAGTCTGCGATGCCAGATGTGAGTACCGTCAGTGCGTCAGAGGGGAATCTTCTCTTATCTGTGTTGTGTTTATGCGATTGCCATGACAACACCTGTGAAAGGAGGCACTGTGAATCTGTGTCCATGAAGCCCAGGCACACTGTCCTCAACAATACAATTATGCGCCACTTTGTGTTGCTTTGTCTTATCAAACACAGTAGAATCTTTAAAATTTTCTGGTTGCAACACGAGAAGTTGTGAAAATGTTCAAGGCATGCGAATGCTTTTCCAACGTACTTAGAAGTGCATCTTAAAAAGTCAGTGCTAACAGCTGGAGCTGCCGTCCTGCGGTGCAGTGTGGTCCTAGTAATCCCTCTGCGACTGCACTAGAAATGGGTCGCTGCCGCTCCTGATTGCACTCATTGCTGTAACATCTGATTGCTTTACGTTTCAGATTTCATTTGTTTCTGTTGCTGCAGAAAAAAAAAGCATCATGTCAACCAATTTTTTTTTTTTTTTACCTTTAAATGAATGAAATTCATGTTATTTTTTGGCTTTTGGAGATCAAACCTTTTTTTTTTTTTCACCGCCAAAATCGGCTCATTTTGTAGCACGGAGATTTAGCCTTTCAGGAAAGAGAAACAAGACTTCAAACACAGACAGACTTACAGAAATCAAAGTTTAAGAACCTACTTTCTGTTAGAGACACTTGAATTTTAATTTTCCAAGCTGGAAAAAAAAAAAAAAAAAAACTGGTGAGCACCACCTGTTTTTAAGGTTAAATGTATAAAGTAGTGACTGTGTTACTTTTTTCTGGTGACCTCCAGATTCCTGTTCCTGCAATCACTCCAGCTTCCTCCAGCCGCTGGTCGTGGAACCCAGAAGAAGAGCGCAAGAGACAAGAGAAATGGCAGAAGGAACAAGAGCTCCTCCTACAGGTTTGTAGGAAAATCACAGTATATAATCACCTTCATCAACTTTATTAAAGACACAAGTAGGTCCATATGAGAAAAAATAATAATAATAACCAAAGTTATAAAGTTTATAACTTGGATTTTATTTAATTAGTATATTTTTATGTGTTAGTTTTCTTTGTTAAAATTAAAACTATGATGTTTCAGGTACTGATTGTAACTAAAAAAGAATCTTCAAATGAACAAAAAGCAAAAATTAAACTTAAATTATTAATATGATGTGTTGAAGACAAGAAAGCATTCAAGGACCCAGTAGTATGTGTTGTATATCCACGATAATTAGAGCCTCTCTGAAGCTAGAAGAGACACATTTTTTGAGAGAGGATTTCCTGATGAATCTCAGAGGGTTTCTTGTTTCAGTAGTCTTCACCGCCGTTTGATAAACGACCTGATTTCGAGATGAGCCGTGACTCATCCTGCCAAGGTTTAATAGGTTCTTCAGATCAGGATTCTCTGAACATGAGATATGGGTGACCTCCATATCCACAAGCCTCCCAGCAGGCTGTCTAAAAGTATTCACACCCCTGTTACGTTTTCACATTTTACAACCACAAACTCTGTGTATTTTGTATGTCAGACCAACACAGAGTAGTTCATAAATGAGAAGTGGAAGGAAAAAAGTTGTTTTTTTTTTTTTTTATAAAAAATAATTTGAAAATTTGGGGGTGCAAATGTATTCAAACCTATTTACTCTGATACTTCTAAATTAAATTACCTTCAGAAGTCACTAAAGTAGTGAGGAGAGTCCTTGTGTGGGGGCTCTAATCTCATTACAAGACAGCTCAGAGGTTTGTTACAGAGCATTAGCGAACAAACAGAAAAGACAAAGGATCAGATCAGAGTAACTTTCAAGAGGTTAAAGTCTAGGAATGAATATATGCATGAAGCATGCCTAAGTTTTCCCTTGTAATTGTCAGAAAATGTGAAAAAGTTCAAGAGATACAAGCATTTTTGCAAGATACGGTGCATTTCTGCATGCTGCTTAGACAAAAAAAAAAAAAAAAGTGTTTGGCATTATAAAACCGCTTTCTAACCATCAGGAAAAATACAAGCGTGATCAGGAGAAGCTGCAGGAGGAGTGGCTCAAGGCCCAGCATGAGATTGTCACAAGCGTGGGCCACCAGCAGGTAATGAAAGTTATTTCAGTTCTCATGAGTTATGGACTGCTGCCTGAAATATTGTCTGGATTGTTCTAAAAGGGTGGCAATTAGTCATGAGTCACAGTGGAAATTCGTCTAAATGTATCCAAAAAGCTTTAGTGAACAGAAATCCTGTAATTATAAAACCATTACGTGGTCTCACGGTCTTGTATTTGACTTTTATAAAAGCAGAACAATTTCAGATAAAAGGATGTACCGAAAGCAAAGCGAGAACAAGGATTAGTTATGTGGACGCTAGTAATATTGCTATTAAGTTTAGTCTTAAAAATATTATTATTGTTGTTTAATATTAGAGAATTTGTAGAGATTATTTAACAAGTGGCTCCTCCTGATGTCACAGCGAGGAATGAGGCTGCTGAAGGCCGTTGGGTCGTTTTGAATGTTTCTCCAGGTGAACAGCCACGGCGCCGGCCCACACTCGCCCCCGTCCTCTCTGCAACAGCCCACTCTGTGGGAAGAGGAGGAGAGGCAGAGGAAGATGGAGCAGGAGCGCCAGCGGCAGGCGGAGGAGAAGAGGAGGAGGGAGGAGGAGGAGCGGGACCTGCAGCGACTCCAGGAGGAGAGGAAGAGGAGAGAGATGCAGGCGGAGGAGGAGAGGAAGAGGAGAGCGATGCAGGCGGAGGAGGAGAGGAAGAGGAGAGCGATGCAGGAGGAGGAGGAGAGGAAAAAGAGGGAGGTGGAGTTGAGAATGCAAAGGATGAGAGAGGAGGAGCTGAGAAAGAGGGAGGAGGAGCAAAGGAGGAGAGAGGAGGAGCGGAGGCAGCAGGAGGCGGTGGAGCAGCAGCGCCAGCAGAAAGTCTTCGACCAGCAGAGATGGTCAGTGCCGTGGTGCTGCTGCTTCTAACACACACACACACACACACACACACACACACACACACACACACACACACACACACACACACACACACACACACACACACACATCCTCGTGTCACTTGATGCGCTTTGTTCCCTGTGCATTAACATAGCTGCAACTAATGCGTTTGCTGTGCTTTACTCTCCTTCCCCCCGCCCCCCTGCTTCCATCATCATCCCACCTGTCTGCACACACGGCTGCTCACCAAAGGGCCGCTGTCTCCCACGACTTTGACAGTGCTCAGCCTCCGCTGTCCTTTATTGACAGGTCAGTGCTCCTGCTGCCATTAGCCCATCATCGCTGCTTTTACGATGCTTCATGTCGTGGCTGTTTGCTCCGCAGGCTACTAACACCGGTTTAGGTTGATGTTTACATGAAGTATAACAGGATCCATCCACACCACGCAGCTTTTCTTCTGTCCATTTAGTCGTCCAAGCATCTGCACATACATCCGTATATCTGTTTATTCATCCATCAGTCAATCCGCCCACATATCTGGCCGTCTTTTCATCCATTCTTCTGTTCGCCCATCCAATCTCTTAGCAGTTCTTTATGCCGTTATTGTATTTAACAGTCAAAACTCTGTAGGAAAACTGTCCAAAAATGGACAGATCAGTCTGCAAATTTGAAAAACCCAGTTCTATGCAGAACTATAAACTACACAAATGAATGGGGATGTTTTAGTACAACTTTGACCATGTGGGGACTGGAGAAAAGACCCCTGAATTCAAACTTGTGCACCTGATTTTCGTTTCAAACAAATGCTATTTGTTAATTCCACCTTTTAAAAAAATGGATCATTAAAAGCCTAAACTCAGCATAACATTTTTCTCTGTGATGTTTATGTAAAGTTCTAAATGTTTGTTTGTAATTGGGCTTCTTTTAATTGCAGCCAACTGAAAAGTGTTGCAGGTCGTACAAGTGGATATTCACCCAAATGGAGTTGAACTGGAGTTAGCTGCTACTTTCCAGTTCAGCTTCCTAAATATAAAAAAAAAGAGTTTGAATGAAGCTCTGCGATATAAAAATGCTAATAAAGTGTCTGCCGTCAGAAAATTAAACATAATGTTCAAACATTTGACATGTTTTACTGTGAAAAGAGTAGGAGAATTTATTGAGAAGAAGAAGAATTGTCAGTCTCCCATAGCTTTTTATTGATTATTGATCACTTTAAAGTTAATAATTTCTCACTAATTATAATATTAACCTTTTTGTTTGACAGGACAAAATCCCAGTCGTCTCCCCAGCTGGATGATGACAACAAGCCTCAGAGGAGAGGTCAGTTTGGCTCGTTTGTTTCTTCGTCGGGTTGTTTTCTGAACGGCTCCGCGCAGGGCTGTTGTTGCACAGCAGATGTGCGAGTGTGTGTGTGTATGTGTGAGCCCTGTCCTGCTGAACGTAGGTTTGCTACGGCAGCCAGAGGACTTGTCTCTCAGGCTGCTGGAAGAGGAGTTGAGGATTGCACGTAGAAAGCGCCAAAGCCAGAAGGCTGCATCAGAGCTGGAATGGAGAAACTACCTCAGATACGCAGAGGCAGAGAGAGGTTGGCTTCGTTCTGGAAGCTCCACCGCCTCTGCTTTTTTTTTTTTTTTTCCTTAAATCAATCCCTCCCAGTGTCCTTCCATTACGATCAACTGATTTGTCGTTTCACCAAATCAAAACTTACAGCTGTTTGATTTGCATCGGACTGACTAAATGAGACGTTAATCAGCTGCCTTGCACTTAAAGTGACTCAATTACTGCACGTGTGACAGAACAGAAGCTTATTGATTGCAATAAAGTTACTTTCAGATCGGCACATGTTTTTTCACCCCTTCCTCCCCCCAAACATGACTGAAGTCTGATTTGAACAGCGCCTTGGAAAAGTTTTCATACCCCTTTAAAGACGTTTACGTTTTGTCACATTTAAGCCTCAATCCTCAGTGCTTTTAATAGGAGTTTTAAGAGAAAGTAAATCATAAGTGTGACGTGGAAGGAAATGATGCAATGATGCAAATAAACGGGTCAGGCCAGGAGAGTGTTAATCAGACAATCAGCTGCAAAGCTCATGAGGTAAATGAAGGTAAATACAGGACAAAAACAGATTAAATTCACAATCACATTCAGCTAAAACGGTCCAGATCAAAGCATATTTGTGTGTGAGAACGGCCCTGTCAAAGTCAACAAGACCTTTATCAAACTGAAAATCATTGGAAGCACTTTAACATTTTTTTATTTTATTTTTTTACAGATGCTCTCCATCTAATCTAGCTGAGCTATTTCTTAAAGATGGTTGAGCAAAACAAACTCAGTATCTGTGCAAAGTTGGTGGAGATATTCAGACCAAAAACATTGCAGTTGCGCAGAAAGGCAGTTCTGGCAAGTCGTTATACAACAATAATAGAAATTAAAACAAGGTGTAATATTTTCTTTCCACTTCACAGCTATGCACCACTTTGTCTCTGTGAAAGACATTGAAGCTTTTGGTTGTAACATGACAAAATATAAAAACCTTCAAGGGGTATAAATGCTTTTGCCAAGTGTCTTTGGTGCGCATTATTACAATATGTTAGATAATAAACTCATATTTATAAAAAGAATATGTAGTCTAATAAAAAGAACAAAAAAAACGCTCTTTTCACCCAGCATAATTACACTGTTTCTCTCTCCTCTCTGGGTGCAGCGATGGGAAGCTCAACTCCTGACGGGAAGAGTCAGCAGCCGCTGTCTCAGGCCGAGCTGGAGCGCCAGCAGATCCTGAATGAGATGAAGAAGAAGACGCCGCTGCTGACGGACAGCAGCTGGATCCGCCAGCGCGCCGCTGGAACGGCAGTCAGCAGGGACGGCGACGTGCCGCCTATGCGCAGGTAGACACCTCGTCCGTCCTGGTTGGTTGGTTCTGTACTTTTTTCTACTAACGGCCCCGGGTCCTGAAGCGGAAACGTCTAACCATCTGGCTGCCACACTGACACTGATTCGGCACGTTTTTTGTTAGAAAACCTGAAAGCGGCTGGTAGTCAGATGGTTTTTGCTTCTTCAACTAACATCCTTTAACGGAGGGGTTGTGTGGTGTGTGGGCTGGCTTTACAGAGGGGAATCTCTTGACAACTTGGACTCCTCCTACGACTCTCGGCGTTCATCCTGGACTCCCAGAAGCAGCTCTTTTGCCTCAAACTACTCTCGGCCGTATTCCGCCTACTCTGGCAGCTCTTCTTTTTACACCGGCGCGTCAGGGCCCCGCCGGCCAGGCTCCTCCACCCTGCCCCCCTCCTTCTCTACGGGCTCCCTCCGTGGTGGGGCAGGAACCTACCCGGCCCCTTGGTCTCGTACGTCCCCCTCCCCTTCCACTCCGTCACCAATCACCTCTCCGGAGCCCGCACCTGACGCCTATCAGCAGCGGAACAGGTAAAAAAACCAAACGCGCCGGTTTCCTAAGGCCCCCAGGAACCTGCCTCTACCTGACTTTAGGTTGTATGTGTTATACCTGTGAGGTGAGGAGTGGTTGCTAAGGGCATTCTGGATCTTTCTCCTTGATGTACTTCTGGTTATTTGCTAAGTCTGCATGGGGGAGCCAAGTGTCTTCTGGGTGAAGGTTTTATGGTTTGACTTATTTGGCTACGGTAAGTTGAACTTTTGGAGGAGTCAAAGTGAGGTTTTCTAATCTAAAAAAGTACAAAGTGAAGCATGTTGGTGGCAGCATTATGCTGAGGTACGGTTGCATTCCACAAAGTGGACGTGACGTTTAAGAATGAGTTTCAAACCACAGACCTATCAGCTTCACCTCTAATCAACAGCTAGCTAATTAATACTTGAACGTAAATGCTAATAAGTGAAAATGAATTTCTGACCAGCACTGTAAAAGATGACCTCACAGATGACCTTCTTTAAAAAGATGGTTCTGGATCGACAGCCAGACAGTCAACAGGCCAGTCTTGGTCACATCTATTTATCGCATCGCTTATCATTTATTGTGATACAATTTGTCCAAGTTAAGAATTTAGATTCGTTCTTGTCACAATAAACTCCAATGAACGATGTTTAAAATCACCCAAAAATGTCCGTATTGTTGGGATCGGTATTTTCTCCACTGTTTGTTCAATGAACGTATCGATAAATACCAATACATTTTGAAATGCGACTAAATGCACTTAATGTGGGAACTGTAGCGACACAAGTCGCAGTTATTTATGTGACTACTGGGGCTGTGATTGTTGCATCATGCAGTCACAGCCATGAAGTCGCCTAAAAAATTAGTAATAAATTCTTATCACTTCTATTGTTACCACAAAAAATCGTGATAAAACTTTAGGTCTGCATCGTCCGGCCCTCCTGAAAAGAATTATGCAGGAATTCAGTGTAAATGTATACCAGTGTGCTTTGTGTGTGTGCATGCAGTCACACATGCCTCGTCGCATGTGTGCTTCGGCTCTAACAATCACAGCTGTGGATTCTGTGACCCAGGTCAGTGAGTGGCAGGAAAACCTGCACGTTCTGTGACACCCCGCTGGGAAAGGGAGCAGCCATGATCATCGAGTCCCTGGGGCTCTGTTATCATTTGAGCTGTTTCAAGGTGAGAGCCGGGGACTCCTTTCGCCACGGCGGAGACCGTCGTCTGCACGCCTTTGTCTGCTGATCATCACAGACTAACTCGGTCGATCTGAACTCATTTTCCTAGTTCTACTAACTCAGGGGGGTTTCGGGGGAATTTCCTGATTTCTTCCCAGCAGCTCAAACTTTTTAGCTCTCTACTTATCCGGGGACTTTGACCTTCAATCAGATCTGATCTCCTGCACCCGTGTCGTTACTTTCTGTCGTGATGCATGTCCTGCGACTACTCCAATCATTTGTGTTTGAATGAATACGGCCTTCGGTCTGTCTGTCTGTCCTCATCACAGCCTCTGTGGCTCTCTTTACCTCTCCTCTCTCTCTCTAAACCCACACAGTGCATCGACTGCAAGTCCGACCTCGGAGGCTCGGAGGCCGGGGCCGAAGTCAGAATACGAAACAAGCAACTCTTCTGTAACACCTGCTACATGCGAGTCAAAAGTAAGAAATCGATCCAGCTCGTGCCACTTTCGTTTATGTTTTAAATTAAATTATGATGTTCTGTTTTTTTTTTTTTTTTTTTTTGTTTTTTTAGCTGGCCACCCAACATCCATGTGATGCAGGCGTGCTGCAGCAGATCGACGAGGAGACTACATGTGACAACAACCCATGAACTTTAAAGTGAAAGCCGTTGCAATAATAAGCCGAACCTCTGGTGTCTTTAATTGTACTGATGAGATAAAGATTTCAAAAGAAGTTGTCTGCTTTTATCTTGATCTCGTATGATGCATTATAACTGTACAAATGTTCTACTTTCCCTCTATATATTATATTATTATTATTTTTTTTTTTATGTTTTAGCCATAAATCTGTCTCTGCGAGATTCCAGGAGAGTTTGCTTTTCCGACTCCATTTAGACAGATTTTGCAAACGTGGTGAGAGAAACCTGCAGGATCATGCTTCTTTTCTATGCGTGTCTGGTGGTATTAATTTGTCCATTAGGGGGAGCGGGGGGAGGTATGCTTTCCATGCGTATGTGGCTTTGTATTTGTAAGAGACAAAGGAAATAAAATTATTAGGATTCTCTGATGCATCGCGTTTGAAAATGACGGCCTGCTTTGACCGCACTTTTTATGCTAAGACTTCACGTCATTCTGTACTGAATTAAGGCAAAGAATAACTCTGTAAATAAATGACTAAATCCTCAGCTGGGACGTGTCTGGGGTGTTTCGTTCTCTGCTTTCGAAAAGCATACGGGGCAAAAGTATTTACACCCTTTGACTTTTTTTTTTTTTCCATTTTGTCACTTTCCAATTACAGACGTCAGTATGTTTTATTCAGATTTTAAAGAGGACGGGAGGGAAAAACTAAAAGGGAATTTGTACTCGGCTCACTCCGAGTCAAAACAGACAAAAATGGATGTCACACTTTTTCATTTTTTGTTTGTAATCCCATTGACTTTTGCAACATGTAAAATGTGGAAAAGTTCTGAGGCTATTAATACTTTTCCGAGGTAATTTAGTGCAATGATATTTTAGAATACGATGCAAAGGTTTTCCATCCTCTGTTATCTGAAATCATTACTCTCATCCTCTTTTTTTTTCCTGTCTGTTGCTCCCGTTCTGTGCTTCTCTGCAGAGCGACGCTCATAATGAAAGGAATCTCAATGAGCTCTTCTTTTTTTTTTCTTTGCTAAGGTTCAGAGGGCCGGCATGCTCTGAGTTTCCCAAAGCCAATTTGTCATGCATATTTTATTCAGTGCACGTGCATTGCACTTGATTATACTTTGATAGGCTCTTCCCCCCTCCCCCCCTCGCATATTCCTTTGTTCCTGCCTTTCCGCAGGTGTATTTTGTGGACGTCCATATTTAGTCTGCAGCTCCCAATTGGATTTACAACACAAGGTAAAAGACAGTGGAAATGAGCTCCATTCAGGCAATTTTATTTTGAGGAAATAGGTTAGACCGAGCATTGATTTCTCTGTATTCTCTGAGGTGAAGCACAAACAGTCCTTGGAGGCGGACGTCTTAAATTCTTGGATTCTTTTTTTAGATCTATCTTGGCGCTTCTATTGCAGAGAGATTTTAGTTTTGAAAGGAGCCAAGCACAGCTGAAATGCTGGCTGGGAAATCTAAAGTCATCCAAAATAGGTGTCCCATGTTTTTTTTTTTTTTATCTTTCTTTTAAAGCCAGAGCCAGCTTGTTACAGAGCAGAATCGAAGAGAGTGTGTTTGAACACAAAGGGAAGCAGGATGCTTCTCATTTAGGTGTACTTATTAAAAACCTTGCTCTCCTAACTGATCATCTTTGTCATTTTGATACTTTCACTCCCTTCATTTCAGTTTTTAAGGTTTAACTCCTATAGATCAATAACTTCACTCATTTCCTTGAAAATTGTCTTGCTTCATTATTTAGATTGGCCTTCAGGGGGCAGTGTAGGATAAGATTTTTATTTATTTTTTTTTCCACCAAAACAGACTGAATTGATATTTTAGCTGCAGCTGAGTGACGGCTGCTGTTGGTTGCACCACATATGCAAATGCATGACATTTACATAACATATTTTCTGATACGAGCTAGCATAATTGAAACACAGCAAATCAAACAAACAGTTTAATCTACAGCAAACCAAAATATTATGCCACTTCTAATTTGCAATATATTCTGACTTCAGCTGTCACTAGCTTAGACGTCGGGTCTTGGGTTTTGGTGCTTTCACAATTAAAAAGCGCATTTTCGACACGGTGACAGATATGTAATCATCTTCCAGGTTGCACATCCTGCCCCAGCCAGAATGCCTCTCTGAATCAGGAGAAGCCATCAGGCTAATTTACATGCAGCTTAAACTGATGCTATAATTAGACATTTAATTGCAGACACAGTCTCCAAAGACCTGTTGCTACAGCTCACTACATACATATCCTGCACCTCCAGTTGGCAACAGGGACTAAAGAAAATGCCCTTCCAGTAAATCTGTAAATACTCGGCGCATCAAGGAGGATCTTTCATTCTTGGCCTTTAGGTCTCACTGGAGAGGCTTTCGCATTAAGACGTGTGACAATTTTGCAAATTTCTTGAAAGTTTAAAAGACAAAACCACAAATTGTTGGAAATGTCAGCCTTATTTATTTCATTGGGACAAAATTATCCAGGTCAAAACATACGATGTCAGAAGACATAATTATTATTAATGTTTTGTAGAAGAAAATGGTAACATTGAATTCAATGTAGGTGTGTGTGTATCAGATTATTATTACAAAAATACTACTACTTTTAGTAGTACGTCTGATGATGACAGTAATCTAAGTAATCTAGTATAATAATTCTATAAGAACAAATATAATACTTTAACAAGTAAGTAAATAACATTTCTATTAGTTCTTTATCCACACCCACAACAACATAAAACTGTCACATAAACTGTAATGATGTTGTCATAAAGCTAGTCCTTAAGGCACAAAGCTTATAATAGGATAGGATAGGATAGGATAGGATATAATAACCCATTTTCAACTGCAAATTTTAAAGCTTCAAATTTATCACTGAAAACTAAACATCGTTCATTTTTTTCTACTCTGTTGCGCAAATCCAGGAAGCTATTTGACCCACAAAATAGCAGTGATATAGAACAGTGGAGACAACAGCTGCTGATAAGCCAAGGTACGTGTAACGTACACACAAATGGTCTCAGTAAATCTTCTGGACATGGTTGTGCAAAACGTCCCACCGGTGTTCAGTCTGGGGAAATCGGCGGCCAAGTCAGACGTCGAACATGTTGTGGTCCATGTTCTAATCTGGCTCTGGTCAAACTTGCTAAACTGTCCTCAGTCTAGTCTCTTGAACATTTTGTCCTCTACCAGAGTTTCCCGCTTCAGCTTCCAGTAGTCATGTGTTGCCTGAGCAGCTGCGCGTTTTAAGTATTAGCCATGCAAGCTCGATAACAATCAACAGAATTTTCTAGTCTGAGTAGGAAAAAGTTGTTTCTTTGCTAATTACCAACATATTATTAGTTCTCGTCTGCGAGCACGCACATATTTTTTCCAACTTTTATCAGGATTATTGATCTGTGACCTTTCGCGAAGCGAGGGACGGATCAGTTTAGATCCCTACTTGTCTTCATTAAAAATGCTGCCTCTAATCCCCCACTCACAAAAGGGCAGAGCTCATTCAAAGGAGACTCGACCTTATAAAAGAGGTGTGTTTGTTTGCTTTTTTTTTTTTTTAATTTGTCAGTTCGGCTCAGCTTATTTATTCAGCGCCCATTCCCAGCAATTATCATCTCGAAGAAACTTCACGAAACAGATTTATTCCCAGTTATAAAGAATCCTGTTCGGGCCTTCTTCGGTTCGTCTCCTTAAACCTATTCATACAGTCAAGTTCAAATCTGGTTACAAATTATATTGCAACATAATTATAGTCACTTGATGATTTGGGTACCTGATAAAAAGCCAATTGTCAATTGATCTTTGATCAGCGTGGAGCAATACCTCCTCCTGAGCAAGCATGTGGCAACAGTGGAGAGGAACTACTTCCTGTTAAGAAGAAGAAAGTTCCAGCAGTACCAGGTCCCACATGAGCTGCCATTTGTCATTACTATCTGGGTGTTAAAAGCACAGGAAGGAGACACACACACACACACAAAAAAAAAACAAGAAAACACTGGACTAGGAGAACTTTCTACTAGGAAAAGACCCTGTATGTTTTATGTCAGCAGTAGTTCTTTCATTGCATGTTTGAAAATGCTGACATTTGCTTCCTTTTTTGTTAAAATGTACGTACACAAATTGTACTATAACTATAAATTGTACTACTTTTGCCTTGGTCGCCTTCAATAGCCATTCGCCAAATATCAAAAGAAAATACCATTAAATGTCCGGAGAAAGTTGGCTGTGGACGTTTGGCGAGCGTCTGGCAGAAGTCCCGAACAACGTTCACCTAATGTCCGCAGCTGAAGTCCTCCGGACGCCTAGTGGTTTTTCTTTTTGACGTTCGGAGAAGCAGACCTACGTTCACCAAAAATTCAAAGCAACGTTCAGGGGACGTAGGAAGGAAGTGCTCCGTCAATGGCACAAAAGCACTGAGTCATGACTCCTTTCTATGAAAATGTAAAACAAAAAAAGTCACACATAGTTCATGACGGCAGCACCACCATCGATGACTGACGCTAAACTGCTGAACTGTGAATCACTGGGCGAAGCGTACCCTCTGTGGAAAGAAAAAGGAAATGTGATTTTGAGCCCTTTACGTTTTCTACTTTGCGTATTCCAGCGGACGTGGTCTGCCTGAAAACAGCCAAGAGAATAATTCATTTAAGTGAAGAAACGATAAAAGAAACTCCCTACTCACCCATCTTTGCTTCCCCCCCTGCAACCATGTTATAATCAGGAATAATAATGTGCCAGAATTTCTACTTGCGGCCTTAAAGAGCACTCTTTTTCTTCTTCCTCTTCTTTTCTCCCCTTTATGTCTTAAGCACTGTAAGGAACACCATTACCGGTGATAAGATGCCTTTGAGTTGCTTTTTGCAGTTGGCAGGCGGGAAGAGAGGGAGTGTTACATGGCTGTAAAATGATAAGCCTCCATGGTCCCAGCTGGGACACCCAGATATGTTTGAGACTGCTTTGTGCCTTGGGTGACAGGGGACCAAGTTTTCTATCCTGATATTAATTCATCCTGCCTCAGTACTACAGCAGAGCATGAGCTAGAATACAGATTCTTTGTTAAGTGTTTTCTGCTCTTTATTTGATGCTTTGACCAGAGACAAGGACAGGAAAAGGCCAATCACGTTGGTGTTTTGCAGTATGTTTTAAAGCAGTATGTGGATAGAAAGCCATGCCTACAGTGGTGGTTTGCTCCGACGCTAACCTTCTGCAGATTCCCAGTCGTTTAACCGCACACAGTTCAAACGTGCCGATCGGGATTGAAGTTAATTGGAAAATGTGCTGACAGATGATTCGCTGTGAAGTGTAATGCGAGCTGTGATTTAGCCAGGCACCAACAACCTCCAGCCCACTGCGTTTTTACACATCAGCTGACAGACAATAGAGAGAAAATATCACATTACCTGCAGACTTTTTTTTCTTTCTTTTTTTTTTTTTCCCTGATTGCCTTTCCAAACTCACGTTTAAGATCCTGCGCAGCATCGCAGACATTTGCTTCCATTTCTACTGAAGAATTACATTTTTAAGATGCAAAATTCATGATTTCA